GTAAAGGATTGTTACAATAACTAACAATTACAATACACACATTTAATACTTTTTTCAAGATACAGAAACATTTAGGCCAAAGTAGCTTTGAATCCTGATTGAACCTTTAAAAGCAGTAATGCAATAAAGTGTCACTGTTTAAAGTGTAGCCCGTCCAGATTGTCAGCTATAGATTTCATACATCTTATTTAAGTCATTCACATAATGAAAACAAATGGCTTATATTCATATATTTTTCTAGTGTTCTCTGCTCACCATTTACAAATCATCAGTTAGTTACTTGCCCTCAACTAAGGTTGTTACATTAGAGCTACCTATTCTTTAAGAAAATTCATGCAAAACATGAACAATGAGAACCATTGGCAAAAACAATTGCACTTGGCTGCATAGAAGGATACATTACAGTACAGATAGGCATACTTACTTACTTCATCCAAATGATGATAAGCAGCAGTATTTTATTCCTTGTTCCCTTCCTGTCCTCAAAATGAGGCTTGGACACCTGTTCCCTGTCAGAGAACTTTCCCTTGGATTTTCATAGAAATCACCTGACCACAACTTGCTTCCCTCTGACATTTTGAGGAGGCGGCAAGTAGAGAATGAGATGAGAGGACACAAAGAATAAAGGAAATCCTTTTGAGATGGAGTCAGCTAGAGCAGTTTCCCAACCTTTTGGTTTTTGCCCTAGCACATCACAGCGGATTTAAAATGACCAACTCATCAAGCTTTGATTATTTGAATCAGCTATGTAGTGCCAGGGCAAAAACCCCAGGACAGAGTTTGGGAAACCCTTGAGTTCGAGGACCTCCTTGAAACTTGAGCCTCGTCTGCAGTTCTCATAAACAAACAGAAAAATACTTATGAAATTGGGATTCATGAAGTAGAGGAGGAGTGTGATGGTAGGCCTACTTTCATCTGAAGTTGATTATAAGAAATCAGTGGGAGGGCAGTCATAGCCATATCAACATCAGTTTTTTTTAAAATCACAAACCCCTGCTGTATGATTGACAATACATTTCCTCTGATATCTTTAGTGTAGGATCATCATTCCCTCACATTTTCTTGAGTTTCAACAGAAATATAAACAATGCAACTCTTCAACCTTTAAGCAACAAATCACACTGAAGGTGACAGCATCACTCAGGATAGTCAACAAAGGCTTTATTCAAACATGAAATAAAAAATACTAACAAAGAAAAACTAAAACCGAAATCACAAGGTTTCGCATAAATACATACGGTACAGAGCATTTCAGAGACGACACATTTAAAAAAGGAATATACAGCAACATTTAGACGCAAGCAGCAAAATAACCCAACAAAACAAGGACAGTGCATAAGAAGCAATCTGAAATAATGTAAAGTGTTTGTGTACCTGGTTGTTATGAAGCTTGTATGCATCTCATCATCTCAAATGCATGAATGGTTGTTGCCACTTAAAAGGTTGATATAAAGTATTAGCATGGGTCTTTGCATTGTCGACACATTGCCACCTTATCAGAGATCAAATGGTCATTGCAGTCAAGAGCTAGGTTATAGAAATCAGTGCTACAACCCAAAATGCTGACAGTACAGACAGTGGGATCCATTGGTGTCATGCTTCACTACGCTGACGCGGTGGTACAACTCAGAGGGGAATATCATGCGTCTCAACCTGGATGGAGGAGGCTCATGTTACTCAGCCTCTTGCACAGTGTATCATGACCAACTATGATATCAAATCTATCACTAAAGGAATGGATGAAGGGCAAATGCTCAAGTTAAATACTAGGCCCGGGACGATACCAATACCGCAATACTGGCAAGGAAACAAAGCACAAAGTGGATTTAACTTCTTTAGGAAAACAGCCCTAATGTTAGAAACAAACGTTGTTATGTTGTCATCCAGAGCCACATTCATTGCTAAGCTATAGCACACAACGTTTGACATACAGCAGGTTTTTAAAGGACCAAAGACTGATCTGCTTCGTGTTTTCATTTTTGCCAAGGAAATAACTATTGCGATACTGGTATCGTCCCGGCCCAATTAAAATAACCCTGCAGGACACACCTTAGAACAATAAAACACAAAGAAACATAACAGGATCCTTGCTGATCAAACATTGCTACCTAGTGACATGGATAGCAGATGGTTTTGTAGTATTCTACTGTAATTACTGCAGAAGACCGTTTCAGTGTAGTGCTTTCAGAGCATCGTCTTTATGGCAGAGTGATTCTTATTTACTCTATTCCAATATAGAGCCTAGTCTATGAAATAGAGTAGAACATCATGAAACTATGAAATAGGACTAGTTCTCTTGCACAGAAATGTGCACCCTGACTTAAAGGGGAGCAAGCTTGGTCTTTTGATGTATAAAAACAAGTCATACCAACAAGGATGCAAAATACTATTCATATATATTTATGTGTGTGCTGAATATTAGTGAACTTTTCAACAGTTTTTTCAACTATAAAAATAGCTAAAAAATCTGACAGTATTTTTAGTACAGTGTAGCGTTAAATTCATATAGATAATTGTATTTTAAACATCAGATACATTAAAGTAAAAGGCTGGTATAAAAGTCATCTGCTCCTCCTTTCCTCCTAAGACATTGCCATGTAACAGACTCAAAACAGAACACCAGTCCTCCACACTTTCAACTTGCGCTTTAGATAGAGCAGCATGAGGACTAAACTCAAGTCATCTACTTCCTGCCGAAGCAATACTACTACTCAAACTACCAAACAAGTAGCCTGGCCCCAGATCAGTATATGCTTCAGCCAACTATAATGCTAGTCAGAGAAGTTGGCGAAGCACAAACAGGTCTGGTAACTCAGCCCATTTGTGACAACAGCATTGGGTCTACAGTAGAACATAACATAAGTGTCCAAAGGCAATGTCCAAATCACTGGACTGGTGGAGCAAGAAGGCCCCTTCAGCCCAAATTTGGCAAACAGAAGTCACAGAATCTCTTTCACACAGGACAGGGGTTAAGGAAGGGTCAGGGGTTGTAAGCAAACATCCAATAAGTAAGACTTTATATAAAATATACTCAGTTACCACTCACTGTCTTCATTACAAAAGCCTTTTTTGAAAACAAGGTAAAGGATTTAAAAGGAAACACAAGGGGAGTCAAACTGGTTCTGTCAAGCTCCATGAAGCCACAAGGGCAACAACAAGAGAAAATGCAGACACTAAAGCATGAATCATGCAGAGCCTTCACTTCCTCACGGACGCACACAGTAGGAATAACCACAGGTAGAACTAGACACAGGCATGCACACACACACAGGCTCAAACACGCACACCAGTCCCATCTGAGAATTAGTCTCGCATAGCCAGACATTGGGCAACGGCACATTCAGAGATTGCGGAAGTAAGCCGTCTGGCTCGAGAGACTGAGAATGGGATGTACAGTATAATAAGTGGGTGTCTATGGAAGCAGCTGCCTGCCACCATACACCACAGGCGGCCGGTGACACCTTAATTGGGGAGGACGGGCTCATAGTAACGGCTGGAACGGAATCGAACACACCAAATACATATTTTCCATGTGTTTGATACCATTCCATTCACTCCATTCCAGCCATTATTATGAGCCGTCCTCCCCTCAGCAGCCTCCTGTGCCATACACCTCGATATAAAAAAGGCAAAAAGAAGAGGCAAACAGAAAAACAGAAAGGAAACCCGAGGAGAACTCCATGGCTCACGCCACTGACATTTTAAGGACACTTAAAGGAGGATTGTATCGTTTTGCTTTGTACCTCTTGTCTATGCTGGTTATAGAGTTGCCAAAGCATGATATAAAAAAATAAGATACGACTGAAATAAATAACTCAACTCTTCTAGCGGATGTGAAAAAAGGCCACTGCATGCTTCTGAGATGCAAACTCAAACTCGACGGCTCGTCAAACCCTAACCGTGACCCTTTAGGCTTAACTCTATAACTCGAGGCATTAATTATTGGCATTGTTTATTAATTAATATAATCTTATCGGGGATCAAAATCCTGAACTGAAAAACAAAAACCTCACTTGAACTCCTGCACAAATCCTCCATGTACATCAATGCATAATTTGCTCAAGAGATCTAATTCTGCATGGATAAATACAGTATCTCCAGTAATGGAGTTTTGGATGAAGGCCAGTTGGGTCAAAAGATGGCTGATGGAGGGTTGGTGAATCTGGGATACTAATTACTAACTAACAGTGCCTCAATCCCATAATAGCACGGATTTCATATGGCAAAGGCGAGTAATAATACAGACAGTAAACGGACACAGTTAGGAGTTAATGGTGAGGTCCCTATACAATCAAAACCAATGATCAGGTAAAGGGAAAACTTTTTGTCCAACATTTCACACTCTTCTTGTTTTACATGTTTTGTTGAGAACATGAATCGTGACATGCACTCTTGCAGTGAAAATTGAACAGTGCATGTTTGACTTCCTCAGAAACCCAGTTAGATTGATTGAATAGGGCCCTGAAGCTGGAAGCAATCGCTACAGATAATTCCTCTCCAAAAATGACTTTTTGACCAATTATCTATCCAGTTACTTCCCAATTCCCCTCTCTCTAGCAACGTCATTTGAGTGGGTGGGATTTAGCGCAGACACACCTTGCACAAAAGGCCAGCCCAGAGTGGCTTAGGGCCAACACCGATGTTTTCGTTCAAGTGAAAACACAGCACAAGCAGTGGGGCGGCCGGTGGGGCGCCCGCGGGTGGCGGATTCACACTTTAAAGCATTTAACCAGTCGACCCTGCCCTGCTTACATCCCATCCACAGAAAGAACAACCGAACACAAACATATTAGGTCCTCAAAACAAACAAAAAACATAACTATTAAAATATAGGTTCTAACACAAAAGAGACAGTTAAGGTTTTTTCGTGCGCTTAAGTGGTTGTTTTGGGGAATAGATTAAAAAAATTAAAGTGATGAAAAGACAAAATATCACATTGAGAGTAGCCCCCTCACTTAGTTCTCTCCTCTGCTCCATCCCTCCATTCTCTCCCTCCAATTCTATGAGGCTTTTGCTTTTCTCGCACGGGGTGACGTCTTGTCATCGGACTTCACCACACCGTTGGCAGAACCTACTAACAAAACAAAGAAACAAGAACAACATGTCAGAAACATATCTGCATCAGAGTTGCACTGGCTGGAGGTGGGTGTTCCAAGGACGCAGCTGCGGCGGACTCACCCCGGGCCAGGTCCTTCTTGTGGGGCTTGCTCTTTGGGCTGAAAGCCTTCTTCTTGGAGGCCTGGCTCTGGCTGTGCTCCCTCCACTTTTTCAACTGGAAGTTGATGAACTTCCACATCATCCAAGCCTGGGTCAGGCAAATGGCAGCCAGGCATGTCATCCTGAGAGGCAAAGGGGGAAACATGAGGACCAGCCATGAGCAATGACAGGCGTTTTACTTTCTTTGATAGACGAAAAGTTCAAACTTGCTCTCAAGGTCCGAATCAGAGGGGGGAACAGGGCAAATTAAGTGATCTTAAGAAACATGACTTGCCTAACGGTGAGCACATTGAAGTTGCCCTTTGCAAGTGAGAAACCCTGGTTCTCTGCGCGGGGCAGTCCGAAGCCAAAGGTCAGTACGGAGAGGGTGAGGGTAAGGAGGCGAGCAATGACGAAAAGTAGTGCCCACAGAGTGAAACTGGAAAAGAAAAGAGAATCTGAGTTATAGTCACCATGGCAACAATAGTGACATCTTACTCATGTAAGACACCATCACAATCGGTTATGCAAATCAATCAATTTAGTCCGATAAGGGAGGAAAAGCTCCCATTGTATCACACAAGTGACTTGCTGAAGGTGACAATAATTCAAATTAAATTAAAAAGCTCTCTGTATGCAGGTATTATTCCCAACTTCTCCCCCTCCTTGTATTGACTGGTATGAAAATGGAGGGGGGGGGGGGGGGGTCCAGCGTACAATTCATACATACCCCTTCTGCTTGTTCTCGTCACTGAAGTAGAAGAGGCGTGAGGCGTGGAACAGGAGCTCCACCAGGTAGTGAGGTACCAGCAGCACCAGGCCCAACCGGTGGAGGCTGAACACACAGGAAACAGGAGGTCAGCAAACACCAGGGGAAATAGATAACAGACCTTCATCAGATGACATTTTCTGTCCAGGGATTAACAGTACTGAACTACTCAATAAAATTAAATATTATTCACATTTGCAGCAAGAAGCATCTTTTAAAGTTGTCCAGGAGATAGCAGCGATGATTTATGCATATCTACCGTAAAAGGCCCTATAATTGATGCATGCAATGCAATTATGAGCGGCACTACTTCCAATATTGTTGTTTAGTACATCGCACAAAGGAGTGATTTGCTGCTGGCTCCTTATCGCTTCGGGCACTAGAGGCCCAGCTCAAGGACAAATTCTTCTTCTAACTGAATAGAACTCATCATTCCCCTCTTTTAGTCATGTAGGATGTGAGAACTGGTTAGAGACTGGTTAGAATCTGTTCTTGTTTGTACAATGCTTTAAGGAAGTCCCCCTTATCTCTCATGTAAGCTTGCTTCCCCCTAAGAGAGGCAATCAGCTCTACGTGTAGAAGAAGTATATAATGACTGATTCTGTAACTTTTGAGTTCCTCTCCAGTTTATCCTGAGAGTGATCTCCCTTGCAATTGATTAAATAAACTCTTATTGCTGATAAGTTCTGCCTGATTCGTGGAATGAGTTTTCCTCAACAAGTAGGTGTCCTCCCATCTATTAGAACAGCCCACCACTGCGAGGGCTGTTTGAGAGAAAATGTCAACCCTGAGGCCGATTGAGGACACAGGGAAAAGGGAGTCAGCCCCCAACATCAGCAGGGGAACAGGGTACATCATAACACTGAAGCCATTTGCAAATAGCCTTGAACGACCTCCTTCCTTCCCTATACTCCTGTCTGTCATGCCCAGTGATCAGAAAGAGATGTGTGGAGCACTAGGATCAAATTAAAGCCCTACGATGTCTTTACCCATCTTCCAGACCAGTGGTCTTGAAGGAGAGGAGCTGAGTAACGGAAGGCCATTAAAATAGTATTGGGCCAAGGAGGTTCAGAGGTCAGCTAAACCAGTTAGAGGTACTTCTGATGATGATACTACTTTGATAGGATATAACTACTACTGTGATTACTACTGAACTTTTCCATAGCCACTTTCACACAACAATTAGTTTGTCAGACTTTACCTGTATGTAGGAAGTTTAAAGGTTGCCTGTATGGGAGGTATTTTGAGGACAAAGCAAGGACATTCCTACAGGTTTACAACTACATTTACATTTTACATTTTAGTCATTTAGCAGACGCTCTTATCCAGAGCGACTTACAGTTAGTGCATACATATATTTATTTTTTTATACTTTCCCCCCCCGTGGGAATCGAAACCCACAACCCTGGCGTTGCAAACGCCATGCTCTATCAACTGAGCTACATCCCCTGCCGGCCATTCCCTCCCCCATACCCTGGACGACGCCGGGCCAATTGTGCGCCGCCCCAATGGGTCTCCCGGTCGCGGCCGGCTGCGACAGAGCCTGGATTCGAACCAGGATCTCTAGTGGCACAGTTTGCACTGCGATGCGGCGCCTTAGACCACTGCGCCACTCGGGAACTAACCACACCCATCACCCCAGACACCACAAACTCTCTCCGGGGATACAGTGCATTCAGAAAGTATTCAGACCCCTTTTTCCACATTTTGTTACGTTACAGCCTTATTCTAAAATTGATTAAATAAAATATATTTTACTAAAATAAAAGGGGTTGCAAAAAACATACCTCCTTTACATATGTATTCAGACCCTTTGCTATGAGACTCTAAATTGAGCTCAGGTGCATCCTGTTTCCATTGATCATCCTTGAGATATTTCTACAACTTGATTGGAGTCCACCTGTGGTAAATTCGATTGCTTGGACATTATTTGGAAAGGCACACACCGGTCTATATAAGGTCCCACAGTTGACAGTGCATGTCAGAGCAAAAACCAAGCCATGAGGTCAAAGGAATTGTCCGTAGAGCTCCGAGACAGGATTGTGTCGAGGCACAGATCTAAGGAAGGTTACCAAAAAATGTCTGCAGCATTGAAGGTCCCCAAGAACACAGTGGCCTCCATCATTCTAAAATGGAAGAAGTTTGGAACCACCAAGACTCTTCCTAGAGCTGTCCGCCCCATCAAACTGAACAATCAGGGGAGAAGGGAGGTGACCAAGAACCCAATGTTCACTCTGACAGAGCTCCAGACTTCCTCTGTGGAGATTGGAGAACCTTCCAGAAGGACAACCATCTCTGCAGCACTCCACCAAATCAGGCCTTTATGGTAGTGGCCAGACGGAAGCCACTCTTCGGTAAAACATGACAGCCCGCTTGGAGTTTGCCAAAAGGCACCTAAAGGACTCTCAGACCATGAGTAACAAGATTCTCTGGTCTGATGAAAGCACGATTGAAATCTTTGGCCTGAATGCCAAGTGTCACGTCTGGAGGAAACCAGGCACCATCCCTACGATGAAGCATGGTAGTGGCAGCATCATGCTGTGGGGATGTTTTTCAGTGGCAGGGAGAATAGTCAGGATTGAGGGAAATATGAAAGGAGCAAAGTACAGAAAGATCCTTGAGGAAAACCTGCTCCAGAGTGCTTAGGATCTCAGACTGGGGTGGAAGGTTCACCTTCCAACAGGACAACGACCCTAAGCACACAGCCAAGACGACGCAGGAGTGGCTTTGGGACAAGTCTCTGAATGTCCTTAAGTGACCCAGCCAGAGCCCGGACTTGAACCCGATCTAACATCTCTGGAGAGAACTGAAAATAGCTGTGCTGCGACACTCCCCATCCAACCTGACAGAGCTTGAGAGGATCTGAAGAGAAGAATGGGAAAAACTCCCCAAATACAGGTGTGCCGAGCTTGTAGCGTCATACCCAAGACTCAAGGCTGTAATCGCTACCAAAGGTGCTTCAATAAAGTACTGAGTACTTGTCTGTAGATGGATGCAGATTTTTTGTTTTATTTAATCAATTTTAGAATAAGGCTGTAACGTAACAAAATGTGGAAAAAGTGAAGGGGTCTGAATACTTTCCGAATGCATTGTATCTAAGGCTGTTCACACACACTGGTACTCACAGGTATAGTAAAACGTGTACGCACAGCTCTGTGATATTCAAAATCCTATTTTCCCTAACCCTAATCATAACGCCTAGACTTAATTCTTACCCCTAACCCTAAAATAGCCATTTTACAAGTGAGGACCGGCAAAATGTCCTCAATTCTCAGAAACTTAGTTGGTTTATTATTCTTGAGGACTTCTGGTAATCACAAATATAGTAAAACATGCACACACACTTCTCTGCAATGACAGGAATAGATATGGAGTGAGTTTACCCCTCTGTCATGCCAAACCCTCTTCACAGATTGAAAAGTACTCAGACAATGGCTAGTTAAAGTGCATAAATAAGAAAATGCTGAACGACAGCTCCATTCATATAGTCTTTATCCTCTTATTTAACCATTTCCCTGAGAAGACGCATACTCACTTCAAGATGTAGGCACCGGTGATGTGGAAGACGTAAAGACAAATGTAATAGAGCTGGCGTGGAATATCCTCCTGAAACACACAAGCAGAAAATAGCCTTTATTAATGACTGCTGTATCAGTGTAGGTGTGTGGCACAGCAGCTTCAGTGCAAAATGACTTTTACAGTCACAAATGGGTTTGTAAGAGGAGAATAAAGAATATGAACCTTGTATTGCAACAATGGGGAATTACACAATCACAAGATGTATCCTTCCATGTTTAAATGACAGATGTGTCATCTTTAGAACCTAACCCAAGGTGTGATCATGGACCCTTACCTTTCGCACTTTCTGGAAGTACAGCTCAGGAAGGGCGTGGAGCCAGTATGCGATTTGGCAAATGTAGAAGAACTTCACCTGAAAGCTGCAGAGAGGACAGGTTACAGGCAGGCAGGGGTAGAGATCCAGTCTATCTATGTAGGGAGGGAGTGGATATGATGGGACATGAAGGTTTGATCATGATAACTTAGATCCTGTTACATGCATTTATAAACATGTTTCTCGAAGATAGATGAAAGTCCATCAATAACAGAAATGTATGTAATCTGGGAGAAAATATTCAGTTCACAATCTATGCATTCCTGCCTAATCTATTTCCCCTAATAAAATGCACTGAAATAAGACACCTCGTTACACAATGAGAAATTAGGAGAGGGTGGGAAAAGACAGAAACTTAGTGCTGTGTGTCTAGCTTGAGTAAAACATCACATTCGTAATAAATATTTTAGGGGAACCTGATGTCTAAAATGGATTTGATGAGACAGCCGGACAGTGTACTCCCACGCACAATACTGGGGCTGCAATGCACCCTGGGTCACTAAGGCCTTTCCACTGTGCCAACTCAAACAGCTGAGCCTTCACAGAACACTTGTGGGGAATTAGTGTTCTACAACGCTTGGTAACACCAAATAAAAGTAGTGATGAAAAGAGTACTAACCCTGTCCCTCTGACATGTTGAAATAATGAATGAGTGACCTGAAGGCGTAAAATTAATGTATAAATCCTTACTTACACCATGTGGGTGTGTGGGTAGCTCTCCCATAAGAAAGTAGGATTTGTCGCAAATTCCTCCTAACAGATAAGAAGAGAGACGGCATGAGCCAAAGAACAAATACGACGGACGGAAAGCTTGTCTTCACATAATGTTCCCAGGCTCCTGGCAGCGTTTCGTTGGCCTTCTTACCGCTGTTAAGATGCTGCAGCCCCAGATGAAGGACAATAAGTAGAAGGCAGCAAGCTGTCCCGATTCATTGAACTTGCTATGTTTGGTTTTCGACAGGTGCAACCGCCTATTCATTTTCTGAAATCAGAGAGAATAGGACATGAGACATGCATACTGACGCGGAGAAACGTGTCTGTTATCATTTGTTGTGGGCTGTCTAAGAGAAGGAAGTGGTCGTGGCGGATACTATTTGACTGGCTAAGAGGGTGAGGAGGATAAGACTGATAAGAGAGACAAGGCCAGACCTTATGTTAGGACTCACACTTGGGCTGGAAAAGAGGGGGAGACACGCACGCACACACAGTGACTATGTGTTCTGTAGATTAAACAGAGATCCTCCTTTCTCTCTCAGTCACACACGTGCATGCACACGCACACACACAAACAGTGTGTTGGGGTCTGTGTGCAGAGACACTCACATCGAGAATGTATTCCTGTATCAAGGCGTGGAGTATGACAGCAATGAGCAGGTAGAAGAACACAGTGGCTATGTCTCTAGGACCATACTGGTACAGGTTCACTTGCTCAGCCCTCTCATCTGATAACAGAGAGAGCGAGAAAAAAATAAAAATAAATTGTCAATGGCTTCAAATACAAGGTACTGGATACATGCACTAAATACTGTAATAAAGGCCAATTATCTTGTGTTATAGAAATAAATACAAAGACAGTACCTGTCAAACGTTTGGACACCTACTCATTCAAGGGTTTTTCTTTATTTTTACTATTTTCTACATTGTAGAATAATAGTGAAGACATCTAAAACTATGAAATAACACATATGGAATCATGTAGTACCCAAAAAAAGTGTTAAACAAATCAAAATATATTTTATATTTGAGATTCTTCAAAGTAGCCACCCTTTGCCTTGATGACAGCTTTGCACATTCTTGGCATTCTCTCAACCAGCTTCACCTGGAATGCTTTTCCAACAGTCTTGAAGGAGTTCCCACATATGCTGAGCACTTGTTGGCTGCTTTGCCTTCACTCTGCGGTACAACTCATCCCAAACCATCTCAATTGGTTTGAGGTCGGGTGATTGTGGAGGCCAGGTCATCTGATGCAGCACTCCATCACACTCCTTCTTGGTCAAATAGACCTTACACAGCCTGGAGGTGTGTTGGGTCATTGTCCTGTTGAAAAACAAATGATAGTCCCACTAAGCGCAAACCAGATGGGATGGCGTATCGCTGCAGAATTCTGTGGTAGCCATGCTGGTTAAGTGTGCCTTGAATTCTAAATACATCACAGACAGTGTCACCAGCAAAGCACCATCACACCTCCTCCTCCATGCTTCACAGTGGGAACCACACATGCGGCGATCATCCGTTCACCTACTCTGCGTCTCACAAAGACACGGCGGTTGGAACCTAAAATCTCAAATTTGGACTTCACCGGTCTAATGTCCATTGCTCATGTTTATTGGCCCAAGCAAGTCTCTTCTTCTTATTGGTGTCCTTTAGTAGTGATTTCTTTGCAGCAACTCAACCATGAAGGCCTGATTCACGCAGTCTCCTCTGAACAGTTGATGTTGAGATGTGTCTGTTACTTGAACTCTCTGAAGCATTTATTTGGGCTGCAATTTCTGAGGCTGGTAACTCTATTGAACTTATCCTCTGCAGCAGAGGTAACTCTGAGTCTTCCTTTCCTATGGCGGTCCTCATGAAAGCCAGTTTCATCATAGCGCTTGATGGTTTTTGTGACTGCACTTGAAGAAAATGTCAAAGTTCTTGAAATTTTCCAGATTGACTGACCTTCAGTAATGATGGTCTGTCGTTTCTCTTTGCTTATTTGAGCTGTTCTTGCCATAATATGGACTTGGTCTTTTAACAAATTGGGACTATCTTCTGTATACCACCCCTACCTTGTCACAACACAACTGATTGGCTCAAACGCATTAAGAAGGAAAGAAATTCCACAAATTAACAAGGCACACCTGTTAATTGAAATGCATTCCAGGTGACGACCTCATGAAGCTGGTTGAGAGAATGCCAAGAGTGTGCAAAGCTGTCATCAAGGCAAAGGGTGGCTACTTTGAAGAATCTCAAATATAAAATATATTTTGATTTGTTTAACACTTTTCTGGTTACTACATGATCCATATATGTTATTTCATAGTTTTGATGTCTTCACTATTACATTTTACAATGTAGAAAATAGTACAAATAAAGAAAAACCCTGGAATGATTAGGTGAGTCCAAACTTTTCACTGGTACTGTATACATATACCCCAATGAGCCAGGGCAGTGATTGGGGACATTACCCTGAGTAGGGTGCCATCTATCTGATGGGACGTTAAACGGGTGTCCTGACTCTGTGGTCACTAAAGATCCCATGGCACTTACCGTAAGAGTAGGGGTGTTAACCCCAGTGTCCTGGTTAAATTCCCAATCTGGCCCTCATACCATCATGGCCACCTAATCATCCCCAGCTTCCAATTGGCTCATTCATCCCCCCTCCTCACCACTGTAACTATTCCCCATGTCGTTGCTGTAAATGAGAACGCATCAATTTACCTGGCAAAATAAATACTCATTAAAAATATGTAAACTTACCAAGACTTTGAGTCACATTGTATTGGACGGTGATGAACATGATGGCAAACTTTGCTGTGACCTGCAATAAACGAAGGATATCAAATAAGAAGTAATGTTGTAGCAAAAGGTCTTGTCATGGTACTTTGTAATAAGGGTGGTTCTTCCTGATAATGCAGATGCATAGGAGTCAATCACAATAAGATGTTTGCGATTATTGTGGATAGCCAGATTAATATAATAGTTCGATTAAAACGTTTACATGCTTTGCTAGAGGAACGACTTCCCTAATAATCCTGTTTACATGGACACATCTGAAATTTGGCTACCTGATGGCACTCTGATAAATGCAGAAAATCGCCAATCAAAATAAACGTTCTACCACAGCGAACATGTTATTTTTGTTAAACATATTTAATTCTGATTTCGGACATATGAAGTTTGTATGTGAAAACTACTTCTAAGACGCTTCGAACACACCGACTGTGATTTGCGTTTTGGTACACCATAAGTACATTAATTTCCAATGGAACGCTGCGTTTGCCTTGCAGATGCAGATGCAGTGGGTTCTGTGTGGTGGGAGTCTCCCGCCGCTGGTGCTAGCACATGCGCAGATCAAATACACCGCTGGAACGCCATTAAGGTGTTTACATGATTTAATAATTCTAAAGATTGCTCAGAAAACCAGGTGTTTTAATCGGTGTATGCTTACTTCGATGTTGACCTTAAGAAGATTAAGAGTAAGGCGTTTACATGACTATTGCATAATATGCTTACTGCCATAATCAGTTTAATATCGGATTATTAGTGTGCATGTAAACGTACTCAATGAGACTGACAAATTGGGTGGGGAACTGGCTAGTTAGCCAACAAGCGATCGTGTTTCATTTTCAGAACAAGTTGGCTAGCTGGCTAACTTAGCTAGCAAGCTCAGTTCACAACATTAAGCACTCAATTGATTACGTGTTTGCAGACTTGAATGAGAGTTGACTAATGTAAACAATCCCCATCATTTACTGTCACATGCATGGATGTGATAGCAAACTGGCTAGCGCTATCTATCCATTTGGTAATATTAGATAACTAGCTAGTTGGTGTGACATGCTAGCTGACCAGCAACTATTTAGCACAGTGGGCCTCCTCTCTTCCTTGGCAATCGGTGTGACACATGAGAAGGGAGACGCTCGCGCCCAGTCCCCTTTGAGTGCTGCTGACGTTGTCATCACAGTTCAAACGAGGCGTTTTCTGTACAGCATACATTCCAGGGTTTAACACTGTACCTCGAACATCAGGCCGAGGAGAATTATCATAGCCACACATGAAACCATATCCGCGTGATTCTGGATCACGAACTCGTGGCTCAGCACCGGAGGGCTCTTGTTCTTCTTTCGGAATCCCATGGCTGACCGATACAGCTCTCCTACCTGCCGCACTTCAGTCACTCGCAGCCCCCGCTTGCATTCAGATGCAAACTCTGCTCTTTTGCTCCCGCCACCACTGCCAGTACACGGTGTAAATTGCAGTTCATGTGTTAACTAGCTTAGAAACGATAAAAATTCACAAAACCACGCACTTCGTTAGTGGCCAGTCAACGTCCCCCTCCCAGTTCGGTTCCTACACTCATGAACCGCCCATTGACGTAGATAGAAAATCCCGCCTTGTTGAACTCATGATTGACACTAGGCTGAACAAATCACGTGCAAGGGAATTGGTGGAGGCGGTCTCGGGAAGTTTCCTATAAAGTCAATGAGGGGATTCGATTAATCTGCCACAAGGTGAAAGTTGATTGCATTCGTTTTGGACCCGGGCTGCGTCCCAGGCGTGAGCCAGGTGCCCCGTTCAAAGCCCACGGCGAAGTCTGCGCAACACAAAAGTGGCGTAATTAAGCACGAGGAGTAATGAGTAGGATTCTGTGTTTTCGCATGCAAAAGTGATTGCTTTATCTGCTTTCCCAATGAAAACTACTTTGAAAATATATTTTATGGAAAAGAGATGTTGTAACCTATGTACGATGCGCCATGCAGTGGTGCCCCGAGGTTCAGCATAATCGAATTCGCCCAATCAATGTTGAGGGAAAGAAGGGATACCTCCAAGCCGTCTTTCATTCCGTCCAGTCAGATGTTTTAAAATATACATATCTTCATTATCGGGTACGTATTGATTGTTTTACGTGAAATACCATTTATTCCTTTATTTTTAGCAAAATAAAGCGTGTAAAATAGGAATATTTCTCAATGTGAATCAGGAAACGGTTGTTATTATTAACGTCAGCAAGCTAGTTAGCTAGCTAGCTACGTTAGGTAGACTAGCTAACGTTAGCTAGTTACTGTAGCCAACAAAGCCCACTACGCAAAGGAAGTAGCTAGTGGTGATGGTGAACCCGTTTGATATAGCTACGTAGTTACACTTTACAAGTCTGTTAAGTATATTCAATTGTACAGCCAAAAGGAAACAACCTAGGTAACATTAGTCTCATCCTACTGTCAATGATGGTTTAATCTTTCACCCAGGCCTGTAACTCATTCAGCCATGCCTGACCTCCTGACCCCAGCCTTCACATTAAATAATAACACAATTATATATATTTTAGTATAGGTTGTCAAACCAGATTGATATGAGCTGTTATGGCATAATTTGGCTCTGCCATATAATTTGTACAAATGCCGGGATTTAGATATGTCAATGTCTGTATCAATATGTCCCTCTTGTAAGGGGAGTCCCGAGTAACTACAGTCATGGAATACATTTTCTGTACACATAACATTTTAACCTAGCTAACTGTTAACTGTTCCAGAAACATTACACAATGGTCAAGGGACCAGGAGTATGAGCTGATCAAAAACCAATCAATATAGGCTTAGTCCTTTAAACAACGTTTGTCATACAAATTTGTAAAACAAATGCTTCGCTGTAACCCGGCCAAAATCCCTAACAGAGCAAACAGCAAAAAGGCCCCGTGTAGCTCAGTTGGTAGAGCATGGCGCTTGCAACGCCAGGGATTGTGGGTTCGATTCCCACGGGAGGCCAGTATGAACAAAAAAAACAAAAATGTATGCACTCACTAACTGTAAGTCGCTCTGGATAAGAGCGTCTGCTAAATGACTAAAATGTAAATAACCATCTGGCCAAACAGTTGTCCTTTTAGGCAAGACAGAGCACAAATAGTTCAGAGGCACATATGTCCATCTATCTAGGCTAGACAGTTGTCACATTAGCATGGTTGGGGCCGACCAATATGTCAGACAACTATTCATATAGAGGCAGGCGTGAAGAGTCACCGGTGGAAATGGTGAACCTGTGAGGGCCAGGGGCGTCTGAATCTGACTGATGTTATTCTCCTTTTATTCACTAGAGGACAGCATTGCTCGTGTTTGGATAGTGTTATGAAACTAATGACTTCTGTGTTCTTCAGGCCCCACTTCTCCACCAAGCACACAACATGTCCTTTGCTCACAACAACATATCCTTTCAAAACGCTTTATAGATATAGCCTAATGGCTGTGCTATTCACATAGCCACCCCTGTGGTAAGGAATAGTGACAGATGGTGAAGGCACAGTGAAGAGTAGTAGAAGTTAGTGTTCAGGCCTCAGACACAACAATAGCGTTTGCTGGCCGAGAGTATTTAGCACCTGGGAACGGAATTTGAGAACCGAGTGCGCACCGATTTTACATGTAGAATTGTGTGAAAAATGTTGACAGACAAAACAGAAGAACGTTAGATCCACATTCAATGTGTGCAAGCCTTCGTTACATTTTACATTTTAGTCATTTAGCAGACGCTCTTATCCAGAGCGACTTACTGAGTGCATACATTGTTGTTGTTTTTTAAATTTTCATACTGGCCCCCCGTTGCAAGCGCCATGCTCTACCAACTGAGCTACACGGGGCCCGTTCCGTTACCATTGCTTGTAACCTCTGTGTTGGGAGTGTGGCCTGGTTAGCTATTTAAAACCTACTCCAATTGACAAACTGTCCTGTCTGTTACCCAGGTACAGTGAATTATTGATGATTTTCACAAAGCACATGATGCAAGCGGGAGGTTCCTTGGAACACACGTACATGCACACACTGTCAATTGTTCTGGTCTGCATTGTCTGGCATTACAAAATGCCTCCCCTTTCCCCAACTTTTCTTTAATGTAATAAGCACTTCTTCCAACCTCAATTGTAAGACCAGAAATTTGCCTTTATATTATGGATTAGGCCTTATAGAATACTCCAGAACAATAACCATCCCCAGAATACAATGTACCACAGCCCTACACAAACATAACACAGTGCCCCAAAATTAGCGATTACGGGTAGTGTTTATAACGGGTAGGAAACTAGATTCAGCCGAGGCCCGAATTTTGTCGGAGTGGATGGTCGGAGTCGGGACCTAAGTAAAGTAATTTGTACACTGCAAATTGTCCACAACTCAGCCAAAAAAGAGATTGTATTTTAAAATAACAATAATTTCATGCCTTGATTACATTGAGACACGATCACGTCTCATAAAAAAAAAATATATATACTTGGGAACAGATTTCCAAATATATATATTTTTTGCTGAATTCCTGGTGATTTTACAGTCAAAAACTACATGAGTCCCATCTTGTTATAGTGTACATAATAGCTACTTTTATTTGGGAACAAGCCCATAAATAGCCTTTCTATTTAATTGATTAATATTTATTACAGTATATTTGTAACTTGTTTCCTTTTATGTTAATCCTCATTTTTTATATAATCTGGATTTACCATTTTGTTTGTCTTTTAATTCCACTTATATTATAGGGACATATTCCCATGTCTACATTTAAAATGGTGTGCAATTTCTCCAGGCCTTGGTTGTAGTTGTTTTGGTGAAGAACGAGCCTATGTGCCCTCTCTCCCCTGAAGACGGTTGAGAAGAAGGGAGGGGTTTAGACAAAGGCCTTCTCTACAAAAATGGAGGCTACAGCAGAGCAGCCCTGCTGTCTGTTTTTCATTTTGTAGATGCTTTTCTACTATATCATCTGTGAAAATAACACAACTTGCACCAGATGCAACCTTAGACAACGGTATTACATTGTTGTGGGTGTTCTTTAGGTCATAGAAATGTGGTTACATTTGTTATTTTGTGATTTGGGCCTAGCTCTCTCTCTTTTTTATCTCCATGTCTCTCCCGCACTCAGAGCTGCTCCTGCCTGCGCTGAACAAAGATAATTACTCAGGAAACGCTTCGGCCAATCGGATGCGGCCTTACATCCCGCCTGTGAGAAAGGGGCCAGTCAGGGCCTGGCTACCATCAGACAGGCCTGATCGCCTTGCCTGAAGAACGGAGCCTTCCCCGGCTGAGAGTGTCCTCCATGTTTTATAAGTGTTGCCATAACAGTGTGTCAGGCAGCCATGCATCCACAGAGGTAAGCCCTGTCTCTTTATCTCAACTCTAATTACAACATTCCTTCCTCCTTCTCTGTTGTGTGACTGTTGCTGTGCAAATCTGAATGTGAATACCTGAAAATCACAGATTGCTTTCCCAAAGGAGTGGGGGGAGGGGGCTTTGGGGGCGGGGGAGGCCTTGCAAGGCCCCTGTACCACAGAGCGCTTAGGTGGGGGTTGGGTTAGGACTCTTCCCTCTGCACACACTCTCTCTCTCTCTCTCTCTCTCTCTCTCTCTCTCGCTCTCTCTCTCTGTGTGTGTGGCAGGCTCACATGTGTTCCCCAGACATCCAGGCTGCCATGCAGTGGACTGCAGAGTGGACCATGGCATGGGGGGGGGGGGGAGGGGTGTTATGTATCTTTTGTAAGCAGATTGCCTTCTTGTTGTGATCTAGTGTGTCACGCCAGGCCAGAGAGAATGGACGTGGGGGAAACAGATGTGCCAGTTAGACTGACCGGGGGGGGGGGGGGGGGGGGGGGGGGGGGGGGGGGGGGTCTCCAGGGAGACGCTGATAGCTAACTCAACACTGGTTGCTTACAGTAAGAAGTGTGTGGTGGACAAAATTAATACTTTCTGCGGATATGAAAGATAATTCTTCACCAATTGACGTGAATACGAACAAAGCAGTGACTGCCTGCCTCATGAGGCTAAATTCCTTTCCAGTCTAGCCTCACCCTCATCAGAACTGAAACCGAGTCCTCAGAGTTCATTCATCGTTCCCAACCAAAAATGGAGGGTCTGAGGGAAATTCGTAAATTTCATTCTTCCTCTACACATTAGTAGCCCTGTCTAGGCTAGTTGTTTTGAAGCTCATGGAATATGGATCTCAATTTACGGCCAAAGGCCTCCAGTTTACAGGCCAGTGCTACGTTGACTCTGTAGCACTCATCCTCGTAAAGCTGCTTCTTCTGCACTGTGCGCCTCAAACAGCAGCCATTTGTGTTAGAAACTGAGTGTCCCTCTGGGTAATGCTCTGCTCGTGTCATTACAAATCAAACTGCCACCCAGAGAAACACTACATTTTTAGTGTGTTGATTCCGTGTATTTTGTGTGCGTGATGGTTTGTTTGACTTCAGCTCGACTCATATTTGTCTGCATTTGTGTGCTTGTTTTCTCTTCCCCCCCTTGGCACCGCTCGGGCCTCTCACCTATTTATAGCTGTAGAGACAAAAACACCATTGATCTGCTGCTTCATTTAAATGCCTGGTTTGACGTTTCTGAAATACTTGCGTCAGGATAATCATATCCCCTTTTCTATGTAGGTTAGAGAAACTGCATATCTGGCTCTCATTTCACAAGAATCCTTTTTGGTAGCATTTTATTTTACAGTACTGTTTCCACTGGTGTTTAATAGGACATTACTTTATGGTTCTTAATTGAAATAATTCATCACAATTAATAACTAGCCCCCTCCCTACCTGTTTCCAAATAGTGCCTAGCAGTAAATTATTACATTAATCAAAAAGTAATTAATAGGTTCTAATTGTGTAATTAGTTACCATGGCACGGCAAATCTTAAAATGCACATTTAAGTTTGATGGAATACATAGGGCTACAATACTAGAATAATTAATGTTTTTCCATGTACAATTATGAGAAAAAGCCTAACTTTGGTGTGAAATCTATATTAGATTTTCTTCGTTCCTCACTCTCAACCACCTTGGTTTGGCTCTACACAAAGCATGTTCTAATTACAGTATGTGAATGGCACATCAACCACCATTACGTTAGCGTCCTCTTTTACTGTGGTTTATGAAAATACACTCTCATGGACAAAACCAAAGCCAAAAGTGATCCAATACCTTTGGAAAAAAGTAATTGACATAATTTTGAACAATCATTAGGTGAGCTTCGAGATGTGTATAAATTCATGTTGTGCCAGTGGTAGGCCTAATGTTAGTAATCTGGTGACAGGTTATCTTTAGGCAATCGTCTGGGGTTAGCTAAGGCAGCATTGCTCGTAAATTGGACACCAGGCTTTTAAAGGGTCTGCTTGTGATTTACTGCCTCCCAACCACAAAGAACAACTCAAACCCTCTTCTAAAACCTCTACCCATTCGCTCAGTAGCAATCAAAACAGACAGACAACCTTTTAAACCGAGGGGAAATTACACAGTTTTAATGCATAGGGAATCTCTGCATTGCAGCAGAAAAGGTTTTTAAGGAAGAAAGAAGCCTGCGCACAGCGAGCTGTGTGGCATACCACAGCCGACCAATCCGGTCCCGCCCTGCAGACCCTCCAGCCAATTAAAGCAGCAGCTGAGGTTAAAGATTGACAATCACAGTGAGAGAGGCAACAGAGAGAGAGCAGGGGCCTTCTGGAAAATTCCACAGCCATCTTTGTTTTATCTCCTCCAGCCCAGTGTAAAAATCAGGCTGAAGGATTTTCTTACATATTCTTTGGTATAAAACAAGGTATGCTACTACGTTTGAATTATCTCTGATGAAGAAGATGTTATTTGGTGGCAAAAAAAAAATTGGACAAAAATTCATCATGTGTATAATGAATCTTGTCTTTTTGCAGTGATTATAGTATGAAACGCAGGCAAAAGCCTGGAACCTATTTCTATGAGACTGTGCCTAAAACTAGTGGTTTCGTATTGACTTGAGCGAACGGTAAATGTAATCTTGATGGTGTTGTTTGTGCGTTGTTATGTACCTCAGAGTCAGTCTTCTCTCTGGAGGTCAGGGGCCGCAGGGTGACGAGGGCACCAGGTTGTTTCTCCATCAACAATACTGATCCTCAGTGGATTCAAGGACACCAACACAAAGCATACAACGAAACAACCCTGTTTTCATGGCACCAATTACAGAGCAGGAACCCAGACCCTCTCTCTGTACGAGACACCACTGTGTTGCATGAGACCGAGAAACAGTGTATTCTCCCCAGGGATAGATCAAAAGTTTGCCAGATGTCTTTATTCTCATAGTCAGACTATCTCTCTTTCTCTCTGTCTCTTTCTTATTATTAAGCCTAATTATTATTTGACAGCAGTGGGCACAGTAAAGGTGAAACTGAAGACGGGGTTACAATGGATAACTGATTTCCAATTAGCTGGATTTCTCCTTTCTCTCTCTCTCTCTCGTCTATGTCTCCCTCCCGCTGTACTCGGTAGCGACGGTGGTTTGGCTTAACTGTGTTTTGGTGTTTGGATGTTGAACTGTAATCTCCACGGATCTCCTGGTCCTCGTGTATGTGTGTGTGGATGTGCCAGTGCCTGTGACTGGAGCCTCGGTCGGCATGGGGGAGAGGGGGGAGGGGAGCCGGCTGTGGCCTCCATTTTCTGTGACGAGAGAACCCTGCTCTGCCTGTGCTCGCCTGTTTCTCTGAGGAGCCAGTGGAATCTCAAGGCACAGATTCAATGTGTGTGTTTTCTTCTTCTATCAGGCATTCCTCCTTGGGTGTTGTTTGTCAATGTTATCCTCAATTTTGCTCGTCTGGAATATTCACAGATCCTGAAGATTTTTTTGCTATCTGTTCTTCTGTGATTCTGCCAGGTTTCTGGAATTCTGCTCCTGGTCTGAAATGCCCTCTGGAAGAACATAGGATGACCAGTTGCGAGAGAGAATATCTGCTTAGGTAGACGCTACAGGGATCAGGTGGTTATTGTGTCACTCTGGCTGCTCGGTGGGCCTATTTTTGAGTGAATAACGAGTGTGAACCTTGGCTCACTGCTGGGTTGCATGGTTACAGTGCTCAGTCCTCTCGCAGTGCTCTCGCTGGTAGGACACGTAGCACAGAGAGTTGGCTAACATTTGCTCTCTTTCATGTGGGCCTCGTTCGTTTTTTCGTTCTCTGTGTTTCTGGAACAGGAAGGCCCTGAAGGGCAGCGTGTTTAAACAAGACAAGACTCATATGCTGGATACTTTTGATTTGTCTTCCATTTGTATCTTCTTGATCTTCTCTCATTATCCAGATGGCATTATGGGTGATTTCATGCCTCAGTCTTTTTGATAATGGTGATTAAGCCTAGTGATCATTAATTGAGACTTGGACGTGGTGACAGGGTTGTTAAGCATTACATTAGGTTTATGAATTATCAATGTCATGGACTTGGTTTGATGAGCAGGACGTCAAGGTTTACAGTGCGTGTTAATGAGGGTGGCTTTATTGGCTTAGTAGATTTAGTTAATGGCCTTTCACAGTGGTAGTCATGCTTGGGTGCATCAATGGCTGCCCTCAGCTCTGGCTCTGGAGCATTGTGCCTCTCTACTTTTATTACTCTGTCCTTTTGTCTTTCAGATCAATGACCATGATGGATGTGGATTCTGAAGAGTAGATAAACTCTAATCTTATCCAAATCTTTGTCTGCGATGTTCCTCTGAGAACATCTAGAACATTCCCACTTGTCCACTTCTTGAACCTTTTTTTTCTATCGATCTAGTGCTGGATATTAGCCTATTAGGCTACCTGTACCTAGACGTTCTCCTATCAGGAGCCACCAGGGCAGGGCTAGGGGTCTGGTTCAGCGTGTGACCTGTGGTGGATCCTGAGGAAGATTTTCTTTAAGCAGACAATGAATAGGAACGAGGCCCTCAGTGGCCCTGACAAAGGAGGCGGTGAACTTTCAAAGAACCACATTCATCACCAAGGATCCCCCATTTTCTTCTCCTTTTTCTTCCTGAGAGGAAATTAGAGGAGAGCAAAACCAAAAGCTGCAGGCTTTGATTTCTGTAAATGGAAGAGGCTCTAATTTGAATTTTTGCACAATATTGTTTGTTATTGATATGATTTGCTGTGGAAATCTGATTATTATTTGGGCTGTTCAGAACATGATGTTTAGGCTAGGCAACAGACCTATGTAACAGGTAAAAACCTGTAGCTAGCTAGTCAGACCAAGGTTGACTCTGTAGAGCTTACTGAAGTGATCTGGTGCAGTGGGTTTCTATACTGAACAAAAATATAAACTCAACATGTAAAGTGTTGGTCCCATGTTTCATGAGCTGAAATAAAAGATCCCAGAGATGTTCCATACAAACAAAACGCTTATTTCTCTCAAATGTTGTGCACAAATGTGTTTACATCCCTGTTAGTGAGCATTTCTCCTTTGTCAAGATAATCCATCCACCTGACAGGTGTGGCATATCAAGAATCTGATTAAACAGCATGATCATTACACAGGTGCACCTTGTGCTGGGGACACTAAAAGGCCACTCTAAAATGTGCAGTTTTGTCACACAACACAATGCCACTGATGTCTCAATGCTGACTGCAGGAATGTCCACCAGAACTGTTGCCAGAGAATTTAATGTTCATTTCTCTACCATAAGCCGCCTCCAACGTTGTTTTAGAGAATTTGGCAGTACGTCCAACTGACTTCACAATCCCAGACCATGTGTAACCACGCCAGCCCTGGACCTCCACAACCGGCTTCTTTACCTACGGGATCATCTGAGACGAGCCACCCAGACAGCTGATGAAACTGAGGAGTATTTCTGTATGTAATAAAGCCCTTTTGTGGGGAAAAACTCATTCTGATTGGCTGGGCTTGGCTCCCCAGTGGGAGGGCCTGGCTCCCAAGTGAGTGGGCCTATGCCCTCCCAGACCCACCCATAGCTGCGCCCCTGCTCAGTCATGTGAAATCCATAGATTAGGGCCCAATGAATTTATTTAAATTGACTGAGTTCCTTATATCAACTGTAACTCAGTAAAATTGTTGAAATTGTTGCATGTTGCGTTTATATTTTTGTTCAGAATAGGCTAAACAGCCAATTGTGAGAGCTGGGGTTTGAGTGGCTACCAAAAAGCACCGTCTCTTTACACTCTCTCATCCATGACTGTCTGAGGCAATCTTCTGTGAGTCAACGTCCATTTTGAAGGTGAAAACCCTTTTGTGACGTAGCCTACGCATTTGTTGAAGTTTTTTTGTAGTCATTGAAAACCCAAAAATGTGTTTAAGGCATTGCTCTTTTGAATGAGCTTGCATTGAACAGAAAGAGCTTCTTGACTGTAGGTAGGTGAGCAAAGTGGGATGCAAACAAACTCGTCAATGTATGGCCCTCATCAGGTTTGAAGCCCTTGTCTCTCCATTGTGTCCTGGAGGACAGGAGCACACAGCCTACTCTGTTGGATGGCCTTATTTGTTGTGCTGAAGCACAAGTTGTGCCCAGCTGAATAAAGAGGACCTGTTGCCATGGAGATTCTCTCCAGTTGGCACCCCATGGAACACAAACACCCAACGCCTGAAGTTTATCTGACTGTGATTACCAATGATTATAGACATGGATAGGAAGACATGATTACACAATAATAATAATAAAAAACAATTGTCATTTAGCAGACTCTCTTATCCAGAAGACTTACAATTAGTGATCATGAATGATCATAAAGGCCATGGTTCTGAGGTCCAAGTCAATTCTGTGCCACATCGGTTGCACCTTAGATTTGGTAACATTAGTAACCTATTGATGTTTCTCAATAACGCCGGCAAGAGGTAACCACAATGGAAACCTGCTGAAACTCTGGTGACTTTGTCCCCTGGGACCCTGCCTTAGGTGGTGTTCCACTTGTTTACTGTGTGACAGGATTTGTTTCGTGAACACTGTGACTGACTCTCTCCTCCTTTCTGTGTGCCCTCATTCTGTGCTGTGCAGTCTGGCTGAGGACGAGGTAAAGACGGAGTCGGATGTGGTAGAGGGGATGGATGTGTCCATGCGATCCAAAGGTAAGAGCAGGGCCTTGCATACTAAGACAAACGTTATTGTGTTTTGAGAAGACAGCTTATTCTAGTGTTCTTCTTCTAGTGTTTATCTTACCGTTAAACATACTTGTTGTTTGTTGTGGATCTCATGGAGCTACACAGAGCAACCATTGTGCCATTGAGTTAAAATCGTATCACCACTACCTCTGAGGTTGTAGCATGGGTTCAGCCTCACCATCACGTGCTGTGGATGTTAGCCTAAGTCACCATTTAGAAGGCATCCTTCACACGTGGTCACTATCACAGGGCCCGACCACACTTATCTTGAAATGTGGTTGGCATGCCAAAGAAGACGTTAACTTATCATATGAAATTCGTTGCCAGATTGGGAAACCAAGCGGTAGGGTTTGGTGACCAAAATCTCTTATCTGGTTGGATTCAGTAGCCCTGGGCAACCACCACGTATTAAGTCTCTCAATGAAGGGGTTCTGCTAACAAAAAGAATGCTTGAGGATTTACACTGCCTTTGACCTTGAATGACTCCAACCCCCCCCCCCCCCCCCCCCCATCTGAGTGGTACTGAAGAAGATGGCGCCTATCATTGTGTAGAGTGGCCTGGGACTGGGAGTGTCTCTGCCTCTCTAGCCTTTCTTGCCAGGGATCTAGTCTCTGTCCTATAGATTCCTATAAGCAGCTACTCTCTGTGTTGTATGTATGGTTACCTGGTGTCCCCTCTGCTCCGGCCACTAGTGTCTGACCCCGGGTCAGCAGAGCGGGTGCTGGCAGCTCAGAAGAGGAAGGTGTCCAGCCCCACCCACTCCTCCAACGGCCACTACCCCTCAGACACCTCCCCCAGCCCCCTGAAGAAGAAGAAGAAACCTGGGGCGGTCCACAGCAACAACAAAGACCAGGTAGGGGGGGAGTGTGTAGTTTGTGACTGTGCGCTTGTGTAAGTGTGTGTGTGTGTGTGTGTGTGTGCGCGTGTGTGTATGTGCACCTGTGCATGACTGATTGTGCCCCCAGGTTTAAATGAAAGACTCTGCTGCATGTTCTGTGGTCGGATGCATTTGTTCATATCCCAAAAATGTATGTTTGTCTACCATGTATTGATGATTGAATATTAAAATGATTTATCTGTCTGATGATTGATAATGATAACTGTTTATAGAGTGGAATACCTTAAAATTACTTTTCTAAACTGCCTTTTTTGAAAAGAGTAGATATGCCTGCCAAATGTGTTTCCATTTTTGTGTTGTGAATGCTTTGTTTTACATGTATGACAAGATTCAACCCCAAGCCAAAACCTTTGAATTCAGTTCCACTGACAAATGAACATGTCACATGTTCTGAACAGTCACATAGACATGTGCTGACTTGTATTGTGTCTTGTTCACTGATTGGCTGATGTGGGTTGATGCGGTGTCAAGCATGATACCCAACACAAAACTGGTTATTGGTCCACCAGGGAAAGTCACCATTGAAATTGCACATTGCAAGTCTGACAACATAAAAAAATGACAATAACACAAACTTCCGGTTTAGATAAAGAACTACTATCTTATAGGCCTACATTGATGTTGACTAGACCAACTAAAACAGTCTTGTGTTTGGTGCCTGCCTTATTTTGCCTTACATGTTGCTTATTACCCTGCCTTACTTGCCACTTTGTGATTCTCTGTGTGTTCTGTTGCACTGCACCTTTTGTGTTTTGTTTTCTGCGTGTGTTTTGAAACCCGCCCCCTGTTTCTCTTGCCTGCATTTCAGTCAGAACTAAGACATGGTCCCTTTTACTATGTGAAGCAGTCATCACTCACCACAGACCCTGTTGATGTTGTCCCGCAGGACAGCAGGAATGACTTCTACTGCTGGCTGTGCCACCGTGAGGGCCAGGTGCTCTGCTGTGAGCTCTGCCCGAGGGTGTACCACGCCAAGTGCCTCAAACTGCCAGCAGAGCCCGAGGGCGACTGGTTCTGTCCAGAGTGTGAGGTACTCACTCGTGTGTGCCGTGCGTGTAGGTGTATATACGTGTGCAAGCGGTGTGGGAGTGTTCCAGGCACATTCTCGCTTAACCACAATGTCCGCTTGCTCTTTGGGGTGTCAGGCGATGGGGTTGGAGGCAGGCTTGGGGTCAATTCCAATTGGACTCTGCATTATAGTAAAAAAAATAAAAAAATAAACATATTATCCTATAATAATGGTACTAAACATTGTACTTTCTAATTATTGAATTTAAATGGAATGGACCCCAGACTAGTACCACAGTCTCCTATAGATTATGACATACTGTAGATGCATAGTTAATAGCCAGCCCAGCAGGCCTACTGTGAGTGGTTGTGTTTACCCAGTCCCTGTCTTTGGTATGGTAGCCCTGTTTTGGTTTTACCAGCTACTATTTGCCATTGTTACATTGTCCTGACTTTGTCGTTTTTCCAGAAAATCACAGTAGCAGAGTGCATAGAGACACAGAGCAAGGCCATGACTATGCTAACGATAGAACAGCTGTCCTACCTGCTGAAGTTTGCCCTTCAGAAGATGAAACAGCCGGGGGTAAGTTAGTGAAAGTCTCTCTGATGCCCTCTAGGTGCCCACTGTGGGCTAGAGATGGGGCTATCGCTTCTGTTGTTTACGAGACTTGAACTAACACCTGTTTCTTCCGTGGGCAGACTGAGGCCTTCTGGAAGCCTGTGGCTCTGGAGCAGCACCCTGACTATGCTGAGTACATATTCCACCCAATGGACCTCGCAACACTAGAGAAGGTACCATTGCATTCACATTTCAGTCATTTAGCAGATGTTCCTATCCATTCCAGACTTGGAGCCCTCTAATAGCAAGGCAATGATGAGCTTTTTGAGTCTATAAGTCATGGTCTACAGACTATACAGTGCCTTCAGAAAGTATTCACACCCATTGACTTTTTCCATATTTTATTGTGTTGCCTGAATTTAAAATTGATTACGTTTAGATTTTGTGTCACTGGCCTACACAAAATACCCCATATTGTCAAAGTGTAATTATGTTTTTAGAAATGTTTACTAATTAATAAAAAAAGAAAAGCTATTATGTTTTGAGTCTAAGTATTCCACCCATTTGGTATGGCAAGCCTAAATACACTGAACAAAATATAAACGCAACATGCAACAATTTCAAAGATTTTTCTGAGTTACAGTTTACATAAGGAAATCAGTCAATTGAAATAAATTCATTAGGCCCTAATCTATGGGTTTCACATGACTGGGAATACAGATATGCATACATTGGTCACAGATACCTTAAAAAAAAAAAAGGTAGGGTCGTGGATCAGAAAACCAGTCAGTGTCTGGTGTGACCATCATTTGCCTCACGCAGCGCAACACATCTCCTTCCCATAGAGTTGATCAGGCTGTTGATTGTGGCCTGTGGAATGTTGTCCCACTCCTCTTCAATGGCTGTGCAAAGTTGATGGATATTGGCGGGAACTGGAACACGCTGTCGTACACGTCGATCCAGAGCATCCCAAACATGCTCAATGGATAACATGTCTGGTGTGTATGCAGGCCATGGAAGAAATGGGACATTTTCAGCTTCCAGGAATTGTGTACAGATCCTTGCGACATGGGGCCATGCATTATCGTGCTGAAACATGAGGTGATGGCGTCAGATGAATGGCACGATAATGGGCCTCAGGATCTCATCACGGTATCTCTGTGCATTCAAATTGCCATCGATAAAATGCAATTGTGTTCATTGTCCTGTAGCTTATGCCTGCCCATACCATAACCCCACCGCCACCACGGGGCACTCGCTGTCTGCCATCTGCCCGGTACAGTTGAAACCGGGATTCATCCGTGAAGAGCACACTTTTCCAGCGTGCCAGTGGCCATCGAAGGTGAGTATTTGCTCACTGAAGTCGGTTACGAAGCCGAACTGCAGTCAGGTCAAGACCCTGGTGAGGATGACAAGTACGCAGATAAGCTTCCCTGAGATGGTTTCTGACAGTTTGTGCAGAAATTATTCGGTTGTGCAAACCCACAGTGTTATCAGCTGTCCGGGTGACTCGTCTCAGACCATCCCGAAGGTGAAGAAGCCGGATGTGGAGGTCTTGAGCTTGTGTGGTTACACATGCTCTGCGGTTGTGAGGCCGGTTGGACGTACTGCCAAATTCTCTAAAACAAATTTGGAGGCGGCTTATGGTAGAGAAATTAACATTAAATTCTCTGGCAACAGCTCTGGTGGACATTCCTGCAGTCAGCATGCCAATTGCACGCTCCCTCAAAACTTGAGACATCTGTGGCATTGTGTGTTTTGACAAAACTGTGCATTTTAGTGGCCTTTTATTGTCCCAGCACAAGGTGCACCTGTGTAATGATCATGCTGTTTAATCATCTTTTTGATATGCCACACCTGTCAGGTGTATAGATTATCTTGACAAAGGAGAAATGCTCACTGACTGGGATCTATACAAATTTGGGCACAGAATTTGAGAGAAATAAGCCTTTTGTGCGTATTGAACATTTCTGGGATCTTTTATTTCAGCACATGAAACATGGGACCAACACTTTACATGTTGCATTTATATTTTTGTTCAGTATAAGTTCAGGAGTAAAAATGTGCTTAACAAGTTGCATGGACTCACTCTGTGTGCAATAATAGTTTTTAAATGACTACGTCATCTCTGTACCCCACACATACAGTTTCAAACACTGATTCAACCACATTACATTTACATTAACGTCATTTAGCAGACGCTCTTATCCAGAGTGACTTACAAATTGGTGCATTCACCTTATAGCCAGTGGGATAACCACTTTACAATATGTTTTTTTTTTTTTGGTGGGGTAAGGGGGGGTAGAAGGATTACTTTATCCTATCCCAGGTATTCCTTAAAGAGGTGGGGTTTCAAGTGTCTCTGGAAGGTGGTGAGTGACTCCGCTGTCCTGGCGTCGTGAGGGAGCTTGTTCCACCATTGGGGTGCCAGAGCAGCGAACAGTTTTGACTGGGCTGAGCGGGAACTGTGCTTCCGCAGAGGTAGGGGGGCCAGCAGGCCAGAGGTGGATGAACGCAATGCCCTCGTTTGGGTGTAGGGACTGATCAGAGCCTGAAGGTACGGAGGTGCCGTTCCCTCGCACTTCATTAGGCACACATGGATTTGTAGGCAATGAGTTTCTGGAATGAATTGGATGTGTTGCAAAGGAACAGGGAGAACTTACATGTTGCATAACTAAAGTTGGGAAAGTGTGACAACAAGTGGCTGGGACATCTGGATGAAGTTTAATGGTTAATCTTGACCCACAGGAAGGCCCAACACAAACACGAGTTCAAGTAATCAGACGGACCGAGACTACAAGTGCCTGATTCAAGCCAGTGGAGTACCACTTGAATAGGTTTTTTCGGTGCGTCTGAAGTGGGTGGTAGAGGAACCTACGATCGGCACCGCCTTGATGTAGGGGAATCAAGGGTTTGGAGGGGTACCGCTCGGCTTTGAACTCTTGGAGAGGACCAAGCAGCGACGTTTGAACCGGTGATGGGACGGATCTGGAAGGGGCAGTCCTCACCGGGGGAAGAGCATGCCCGTTTGGCGGTAGGATGTCAGCTGAGGTGGAGGTCCGTCCTCACAGCTCGTAGGCAAGCACCATGGTCTTGTAGCAGATGCGAGCTTCAACTGGAAGCCAGTGGAGTGTGCGGAGGAGCGGGGTGACATGAGAGAACTTGGTGTATAGCGAGAATAGGAGAGGGCCTAGAACTGAGCCCTGGGGGACACCAGTGGTGAGAGCACGTGGTGCGGAGACAGATTCTCTCCACGGCACTTGGTAGGAGCGACCGGTCAGGTAGGACGCAATCCAAGAGTGAGCCGCGCTGGAGATGCCCAGCTCGGAGAGGGTGGAGAGGAGGATCTGATGGTTCACAGTATCAAAGGCAGCAGACAGGTCTAGAAGGACAAGAGCAGAGGAGAGAGAGTTAGTTTTAGCAGCGCGGAGAGCCTCCGTGACACAGAGAAGAGCAGTCTCAGTTGAATGACCAGTCTTGAAACCTGACTGGTTTGGATCAAGAAGGTAATTCTGAGAGAGATAGCAAGAGAGTTGGCTAAAAACGGCACACTCAAGAGTTTTTGAGAGAAAAGAAAGAAGGGATACTGGTCTGTAGTTGTTGACATCAGAGGGATCGAGTGTTGGTTTTTTGAGAAGGGGTGCAACTCTTGCTCTCTTGAAGACGGAAGGGACATAGCCAGCGGTCAAGGATGAGTTGATGAGCGAGGTGAGGTAAGGGAGAAGGTCACCGGAGATGGTCTGGAGAAGAGAGGAGGGGATAGGGTCAAGCGGGCAGGTTGTTGGGCGGCCGGCCGTCACAAGTCGCAAGATTTCATCTGGAGAGAGAGGGTAGAAAGAAGTCAAAGCATGGGGTAGGGCAGTGTGAGCAGGACCAGCAGTGTCATTTGACTTAACAAACGAGGATCGGATGTCGTCAACCTTCTTTTCAAAATGGTTGACGAAGTCATCCACAGAGAGGGAGGAGGAGGAGGGGGGGATTCAGCAGGGAGGAGAAGGTGGCAAAGAGGTTTCTAGGGTTAGAGGCAGATGCTTGGAATTTAGAGTGGTAGAAAGTGGCTTTAGCAGCAGAAACAGAGGAAGGAAATGTAGAGAGGAGGGAGTGAAAAGATGCCAGGTCCGCAGGGAGTCTAGTTTTCCTCCATATCCGCTCGGCTGCCCGGAGCCCTGTTCTGTGAGCTCGCAATGAGTCGTCAAGCCACGGAGCAGGAGGGGAGGACCGAGCCGGCCCGGGAGGATAGGGGACATAGAGAGTCAAAGGATGTAGAAAGGGAGGAGAGGAGGGTTGAGGAGGCAGAATCAGGAGATTGGAGGGAGAAGGATTTAGCAGAGGGAAGAGATGATAGGATGGAAGAGGAGAGAGTAGCGGGAGAGAGCGAGCGAAGGTTGCGACGGCGCATTACCATCTGAGTAGGGGCAGAGTGAGTAGTGTTGGAGGAGAGCGAGAGAGAAAAGGATACAAAGTAGTGGTCGGAGACATGGAGGGGAGTTGCAGTGAGATTAGTAGAAGAACAGCATCTAGTAAAGATGAGGTCAAGCGTATTGCCTGCCTTGTGAGTAGGGGGGGGGGGGGGGGGTGAGGTCAAAAGAGGAGAGGAGTGGAAAGAAGGAGGCAGAGAGAAATGAGTCAAAGGTAGATGTAGGGAGGTTGAAGTCACCCAGAACTGTGAGGGGTGAGCCATCCTCAGGAAAGGAACAACAAAGACCAAGGAGGTTTTCCAATGCCTCGCAAAGAAGGGCACCACCGATTTGGTAGATGGGTAAAAATAAAAAAGCAGATTGAATATCCCTTTGAGCTTGGTGAAGTTATTAATTACACTTTGGATGGTGTATCAATACACCCAGTCACTACAAAGATACAGGCGTACTTCCTAACTCAGTTGCCGGAGAGGAAGGAAACCGCTCAGGGATTTCACCATGAGGCCAATGCTGACTTTAAAACAGTTACAGTAGGGCTGGGTGATATGGCCTAAAACTCATATCTCTCTCTTTTTTTTTTACTTATGGGCGATTTCACGATATACAGTCCAGTCAAAAGTTTGGACACACCTACTCATTCCAGGGTTTTTCTTTATTTTTACTATTTTCTACATTGTAGAATAATAGTGAAGACATCAAAACTATGAAATAACACATATGGAATCATGTAGTAACCAAAAGAGTGTTAAACAGATTCATCAAAGTAGCCACCCTTTGCCTTGATGACAGCTTTGCACACTCTTGGCATTCACTCAACCAGGTCATCACCTGGAATGCATTTCAATTAACAGGTGTGCCTTGTTAAAAGTTAATTTGTGGAATTTCTTTCCTCCTTAATGCATTTGAGCCAATCAGTTGTATTGTGACAAGGTAGAGGTGGTATACAGAAGATAGCCCTATTTGGTAAAAGACCAAGTCCATATTATGGCAAGAACAAATAAGCAAAGAGAATCGACAGTCCATCATTACTTTAAGACATGAAGGTCAGTCAATCAGGAAGATTTCAAGAACTTGGAACGTGCAGTCGCAAAAATCACAAAGCGCTATGATGAAACGGGCTCTCATGAGGACCGCCACAGGAAAGGAAGACCCAGAGTTACCTCTGCTGCAGAGGATAAGTTCATTAGAGTTACCAGCCTCAAAAATTGCAGCCCAAATGAGTGCTTCACAGAGTTCAAGTAACAGACACATCTCAACATCAACTGTTCAGAGGAGACTGCGCGAATCAGGCCTTCATGGTCGAATTGCTGCAAAGAAACCACTACTAAAGGACACCAATAAGAAGAAGAGACTTGCTTGGGCCAAGGAACACGAGCAATGGACATTAGACGGGTGGTAATCTGTCCTTTGGTCTGATGAGTCCAAATTTGAGATTTTTGGTTCCAACCGCTGTGTCTTTGTGAGACGCAGAGTAGGTGAACGGATGATCTCTGCATGTGTGGTTCCCACCATGAAGCATGGAGGAGGAGGTGTGGGGGTGCTTTGCTGGTGACACTGTCTGTGATTTATTTAGAATTCAAGGCACACTTAACCAGCATGGCTACCACTGCATTCTGCAGCGATACGCCATCCCATCTGGTTTGCGCTTAGTGGGACTATCATTTGTTTTTGAACAGGACAAGGACCCAAAACACACCTCCAGGCTGTGTAAGGGCTATTGGGATGGTTTGGGATGAGTTGGACCGCAGAGTGAAGGAAAAGCAGCCAACAAGTGCTCAGCATATGTGGGAACTCCTTCAAGACTGTTGGAAAAGCATTCCAGGTGACTACCTCATGAAGCTGGTTGAGAGAATGCCAAGAGAGTGCAAAGCTGTCATCAAGGCAAAGGGTGGCTGCTTTGAAGAATGTAAAATAGAACATATATTGTTGTTTAACACATTTTTCGTTACTACATGATTCCATATGTGTTATTTCATAGTTTTGATGTCTTCACTATTATTCTACAATGTAGAAAATAGTAAAAATAAATGAAAACCCTTGAATGAGTGGGTGTGTCCAAACTTTTCACTGGTACTGTATATCTAGATTGTTTCATTTTTCTCTCTCTAAATAAGCTTTGTTGTACAATTAAAGGTCCAATTTCAAACAGTCAAAAATAATCTAACGAATTCATAGCTTGTGAAATTATACCTAGGCTGAATATATGCCTTCCACTAATAATTGTATTATTTTATCAAAATAGTTTTACCAGCTTTTTTTTTGCAATAATCACTGATCTGGCTTTCAGGTCTGTCAATACAAATTTAACCAGAACTATGCATAATGCACATTCACTAATAATGTAGCAGGCATTATGGAAAATGAACACTCGTCTCATAAACAATCTCTCAAGCACAAGCCTGCGTGCTAGGGAGTAGCCAGCTAATCTTTATATTTCAAGTTTATCCAACTTGGATCTAGGTATAATTTCACAAACTCTGAATTCAGCTAACAAGGAAAAACAGTTGAATTGTTATGAACACAACCTTCTGTCCGTCTCCAACTGTTTGAACAGCATGCTAGCCATTCCACTTTGTTCAGATGTTGAAATCAAGTGGCCTACCTTATTTCTCAGAATGAAAACAAGTTGCCAATTCCTTATATCATTGTTTTGTACTTATTGGACATTTATAAAACACAGTCATCCAAACAGCTAGTATAACAATCTTTATTTGACTAAAATGCTGCTAGCGATACGTGGTACCATAATGCGCGCGCGACAAACTTTACATTCATTTTGTAGAATTAATGTTCATTGGTACATCCGTTTTAGTAGTGTCTGCTCTGCTCGAAATTTGAGGAGTTGAAACAAACCGGGTATGGTTCGAAAGGTTAACTTCTCCTCTATTACAGTAAAATAATGTATCCATGTGTTTCGTTGTCCATATGACCGATTCTGTTGAACCAAACATCAAATGCAAATAGCGAGTTGAAACCGTTTGTCTGAGAGGAAGAAGTGATCTCTCATCTTGGTTGTTGTGAGTGGTAGGGGGAGGGGCTTGGGGGAAAGAGGCGAAGCGAGAGGTTTCACTCTTGCTAAAATCTGTCAAAAATATTTTGAGCCTTGTCGCCTGCCTTCCCGCCTTTGGAACAATGACTCCCATTGTTAGGGCGGAGACATGAGCATCTCGTCATTATATACAGATCTCTGGTGTAAATGGGAAGGTGCACAGCACAGAAGGAGCGAACGAGTCGAGACCAAAAAGACAACATGAGAACAAGCCGACATAAACTCTCATAAAAACGAAATGATTATGATTCTGCGATACAGGCATTTCGAATATCGCGCAAGAACATAAATTCGAATGAATTCGACATATCGCCCAGCCCTAAGTTACAGTATAATTAATGGCTGTGATACGAGAACAGAGGATGGATCAACAACATTGTAGTTATTCCACAATCCTAACCTAATTGACAGAGTGAAAAGAAAGAAGCCTGTACATAATACAAATATTTCAAAACATGCATCCTGTTTGCAATAAGGCACTAAAGTAAAACTGCAAAAAATGTGGCAAAGAAATTAACTTTATGTCCTGAATGCAAAGCGTTGTCTTTGGGGAAAATCCAACACGTCACTGAGTACCACACTTCATATTTTCAAGCATGGTGGTGGCTGCATCATGTTATGGGTATGCTAGTCATCGGCAAGGACTAGGGAGTAAAAACAAAAAATGGAATAGAGCTCAAGACTTGAAAATGGTTGTTTAGAAATTATCAACAAACAACTTGACGGAGCTTGAATATTTTTTTCAAGAATAATGTGTCAATATTGTACAATCCAGGTGTGCAAAGATGTTAGACTTACCCAGAAAGACTCACAGCTGTAATCGCTGCCAAAGGTGATTCTAACATGTACTGACTCAGATGTGAATACTTATGTAAATGCAATATTTCTGTATTTCATTTTCAATAAATGTGCTAATATTTCTACAAACATGTTTTCACGTTGTCATTATGGGATATTGTGTGTAGATGGGTGAGAAAAAGGCACTAAGAGAGTTGGGCCACATTTTTAAATTCAGAATATTGGTCTAATTCTAGACATTCAGTTACATAGCGTTGTTTAAATATTCCCCATGTAATGTTAACATGGCGCTAATATGGCTGCCATAGAATTTTGTTGTGTCATGTAAATGCATCATAATGCAGAAACATTAAAGCGGCAATCAGTAGTTAAAACAATAACAAAGCGTACTCCCCACCACTGTTTCGGTAAAAAGCAAGGGGGATGGGGCTGGAGAAATGTAACCACTCTCAAATTCAAAGATAGAGCTATGGATGCAAGGACTGACCATCCATGATATCAAAATGATAGTTTTTACCATGTTTTTAGGCTATACAGTGTTTGTTTACATTTACTTTGTTTACAAACAGAGTAAAACAAGGTTATATTTTGAGTTCTGATGGGGTACGACAGTTGGAACTAACCTCATGATCCATATTTTTTTTTAAATAAATTATATTCTTCAAGAATCAATGGGTACATAATATCATTATGTCCAAAAATGGATGATTGCCCCTTTTAATGGCCCAACCATAGAGATCCTATTAAATTATTCTAAATCCTAGTTCTATGGGCCCAACTCTCTAAATACATGGCTCTGGTGTAATCTAATCATATTTTTCTCTGCTATATCGGTAGAATATGAAAAAGAAAATGTATGGCTGCACAGAAGCCTTCTTGGCTGACATGAAATGGATCTTACACAACTGCATCATCTACAATGGAGGTAGGTCAAAACACATGTTTAACACGGTTTCCGTACTGTACTGCTTGCTACATGCTTTGGAAATAAAACTTGGCTCTTACAAACATGTTTTTCTGTCTTTTGGTTTTGTTCCAGGAAATCACAAACTAACAGCGACAGCAAAGGTTGTTGTGAAGATCTGTGAACATGAAGTGAGTATCGTTTTTACATGAAGACTGAAATGCCATTCGGTGGTGTGTTTGTTTTTTTCAGTATTATTTCAGTAATGTGGAAAATGCTGTTTGTTTCAGGTTAATGAAATTGAGGTCTGTCCGGAGTGCTACCTGTCCTCGTGCCAAAAGAGGGACAACTGGTTTTGCGAGCCATGTGTAAGACATGTTTCCTCATCTTATTTTGGCCAATAAATTGTATGGATGTAAATGTTCATTTTTGTCCTGTGACTTAGGTCACAATTCGGTTTGTCCTGAAGACAAATGTAGATTAGCCTAAATATAATGTTTCAAATCTCAAAAATATTATTTAAAGCACAGGAAAAGCCAGGAAAATCTTTGCGAATCCTATTCCTCTGTCTGTGTTTATGCTGTTTTATCTCACCGTGCCCCTGGTCTGCCCCCCCCTCTCAGGGTCACCCACACCCCCTGGTGTGGGCAAAGCTGAAGGGCTTCCCCTTCTGGCCAGCCAAAGCACTGCGGGAGAAGGACGGACAGGTGGACGCACGCTTCTTCGGACAGCATGACAGGTGAGCCTTGCTTTTTAATGAAAGTGGCAGATGGAAGGGACTTTTCATAGTTATTTACTGAAGTACTGTTTGCGTTCGTATGGTATTGGACTCTCTGCTTATCCTACTCCTAACCTGTCTCTCTGTGTTTCTTCTCTGCAGGGCGTGGGTTCCCATTAACAATTGCTACCTCATTTCCAAGGAGATTCCCTTCTCTGTGAAGAAGACCAAGAGCATCTTCAACAGCGCCATGCAGGAGATGGAGGTCTATGTGGAGAACATCCGCAAGAAGTTTGGGGTGTTCAACTACGCCCCCTTCCGCACCCCCTACACGCCCAACAACCAGCTTCAGATGCTGCTGGACCCGGCCAACCCCGACGCAGGGACCGTGAAGACGGAGAAACCTGACAAGATGCGCTTCAACTTCGACATGACCGCATCTCCCAAGATGCTCCTGGGCAAGAGCTCTCTGTCGAGCGGGATGGGGCGGAGGATCTCTCTGACGGACATGCCTCGCTCTCCCATGAGCACCAACTCGTCTGGACACACAGGGTCTGACGTGGAGCAGGATGGGATGGAGAGAGGGCCTAGAAACCCCCCATTCCACTACAGCGCTGGGGAGGAGTCTATGGACTATACCGGTAACTAACATGCTCCTGAATCTAACACATCATATAACTAACTAAGACAGTATAGTCACATTCAAAACACAGGTTAGGACCAAGACTCAAACCATTTGTGGAGGTTAAAAGTGTTATGTGTTATGGCCTCAGCGTCCCCTGCCTCAGTGAAGATGGGCCATGCAGGCAGCATGACGGGCAGCCCCAAGCCCTTTTCCCCTGGTCTGGTGCCCAAACAGGAGAGGGCCCCGGGCACAGGCAGCATCCTCAACCTCAACCTGGGTGAGTCCCATCTAACCCATCCCCTTATGTAGCACCTTGTCTTGTGCTGTCTGTTTGTTTAAGGCAGGGGAGGGTAAACTACGGCCCGGCGGGAGGTTTGAGTAAACATTTATTTTATTTTATTTTATTTAGGGTTATGATTGGGAAATTATTATTTAGGGTAAAAAAAATAATAATACACTCCACACGTGAACGTCTAAAACTATATAGAAAGTATGGACAAATTATTATGAACCTATATATTTTCAAATAACTGCCATTTTCTGCCCCTCAAATTGATTTTGACAAACAAACCGGTCCCCAAAAAAATCTGTACGGCCCTTCATTGAATTTCGAAATCCCGATGTGGCCCTCGAGCCGAAATGTTTGCCCACCCCTGGGTTAGGGGTTATGTTTTGGTTGAGGTTGAGTTTTAGTGTCAGGGTTCATAAGGTCATGAAAATCCTGGAAAAGTCATGGAATTTTTTTTATGATGTTCTCCAGGCCTGGAAAAGTTTTTGGAAAATGATCAAATCCGAAAAGGTTTGGAAAGGTCATGGAAATGATTTTAATAATTGATTTTAATGTAAATAATTTAGGCACAGTTTTTTTGATCAATCACCTAAAAATCTACATATCAGACAGGATCGGAATATGACACTTCAGTGCGTCTGTGTGTGTGCGCGAGCATCACCTGCATGTGTGCGAGTGTGCCTTTCTCAAGGAGATAGACAGTCAGACATTGTAGCCCCTCCGTGATTGCAGCAGTAGGTAGGCCTAGCCTATAGAATATGATAGAAAACAGACTAATTGGGTAACCAATTCAAAACATATATTGTAGCCTGGCTAGTTATCTCTCTAGTTAACTGTTTAGTTATTATTATTATTATTATTATTATTATGTATGAATGTTTTCGTCATGTCCCAAAAAACTTTCCACCAACACTCGCGAATAAGGCCATGCAAAGTGTCATACAAATGATTAATTTAAACAATTCTTTTTGACGAAGCAAACGATTCACTTCGTCATTGTATTAGTTAGGGATTATGTTTAATCTTGATGAATCTAATCATGTGAATCAAAATAATAATTTGTGAATTGCGAACAGTAGTTTCAGGAAAAACTATTAGATGTAGCCTTTCTTTTGGATTATGTGGCTGTAAAACTTGTTTTGTAGATACTGTACTTCCAGTTGATTTGGGTATCCAATGTATGGGACATTGCAACTCAATAGATACTAATCAGCCTGCAAAGTAATAGATACTAATCAGCCTGCAAAGTAAACACTTCTAAGGTAGCTAAAATAAATATGACTAAACTAGAAAAGGTACATTTCCTGCAGAAAATGTGTGGGCTAGTTTCAGCAGAATATAAAGATTTGTAGCCTACCATAGCCATTTGATCTTTGATATATTGAATGAGCACATTATTTTATAAAGGCATAAAACGTATTTGGTTGTAAAGTTGCAATGTTTTACATCAAGGGTGGTCAACCATCCTCCAGGAGAACTACTGGGTGTGCAGGCTTTTGTTCCAGTCCCCCTGTAACAAAACACATTTTAGAAATGAGCTGCTCAACCGGACCTTGATAAACTGACTTTCATGTGTATGATCCAGTAGCTCTCCAGACTGAGGGAAAGGGGATACCTAGTCAGTTGCACAACTTAATGCATTCAACCCAAATGTGTCTTCTGCATCTAACCCAACCCCACAGGTTGACCCCATGTGTTTTATTCAGTTGCCTAATAGGTATTCTACTTGGTGGGGGGGTTAAGTGCCTTGCACAACAACAGGAAATGGTACATGGGATCAGAGAGCAGCTTCCCAGTGTCGATACCACATATATGCTTACTTCTATTTGGTTAAAAGTCATGGAGAAGTCATGAAATTCCATCTGTCAAAATGTGTATGAAGCCTGTAGTGTTTGTCACAGATCGTGTGAAGGCTGAGATGGACCTGAAGGAGCTCAGTGAGACAGTACAGCATCAACAACAACAACAGGCGTCATCACTCCTCCTCACCACCCCCAAGAGACCCATCAGGAGCCTGGACAAGACCATCGAGAGCTGCAAGGCCCAACTAGGTACACACATACACTCACCCACACCATTCAGGAATTGTGTCTAGAGCAGGGATTGGCAACTCCTGTCCTCTGGGCCGGAGTGGTGTCACCCTTTTTCCCCATCCCTAGCAAACACAGCTGATTTAAACTAATTGCATTATAAACTGAAGATCTTGATTATTGGAGTCGGATGTGTTAGCTGGGGCTGGGGCAAAAGTGTGACACCAATCATGTCCCAGAGGACTGGAGTTGCCCCGTCCCTGATCTAGAGGGACACATTTGAAGGCCTATAAATGATACGCTCATGTTCATCATGTATTAATACTATGATTTATATGTTGTTTCTTTGTCCCTGTGCAGGCATTGATGAGATCTCTGAGGACGTATATAAGGGTGTGGAACACAGTGACTCTGAGGATTCCGAAAAGTCAGACTCCAGCGACAGCGAGTACCTTAGCGACGAGGAGCACAGACCGAAGAGCGCCGCCCATGATGACAAGGACAAAGCAGAGAGGGAGTCGAGGAAGAGGCCCAAGGCGAGCACACAGGGAGAGGACAAGGGGGCAGTCACAGGGACCAGGGATAAAAAAAACTCTGAAGCCCTGCTCAAAGACAGACAGGGCAGCAATGGTCTAGAGAGAGACTCCCAGGAGAAGCCCATGATGCCCCAGACTCAGTCCCCCACAGACAGGCCCAAGGCCCCAGAGGAGGGGAGGGCAGGCGCACCCCGGGCCCTTGCTGGCCCAGACCAGGACTCCGACTCAGAGAGGGAGCTGGTGATTGACCTGGGTGATGAGCAGGGGGGCAGAGACCGTAAGAGGGCCAGGAGGGAGCCAGGGGCTGTAGACGCTAAAGCCACGAAGGAGCCCCTTGGCACCAAGCTGGAAGGTGAGGGCTCATTTCATGTCTTGTTTCTTTTGTTTTGTGTACTCTAGTTGCTTCTTATGATAATGTTTTGAGCGACTGAGGCCTAAAGGCTCATCAGAAAGGAGGAAAATACTGGTTGTTCTGTCTTTATTTAATCTTATGTATTTTTTCTCTGACCAGGCAAATTCCCCACCGCAGTGACCCCCTCTCTAGCCTCCGCCACCTCATCCAACCCCAAAGACCCCAGTCAGCCCCTCATCAACCCCACACTCAACCTGTCCTCCAGCACAGGCTCTGGCCAGCCCAACACGGCCTTCACCACCACCCCTGCAGCCCCGACCCCAGCCCCCACCCTCTCCTCCACAGCTGCCTCAGCCCAGTCGGCAGTGAAGAAACAGCGCCCCCTGCTGCCCAAAGAGACGGCTCAGGCAGTGCAGAGGGCAGTGGTGTGGAACCCTGCCAACAAGTTCCAGACGTCCTCACAGAAGTGGCCTGCACAGCAGGAGGAGCAGCCGGCTGGGCCAACCCAGACACAGGTTCCTGTTCCGGTCCAGGCTCCAACCCAGACGCAGGCACAGACACGCAGCCCACAACAGCTCCAGTCACAGCAGCAGTTGCAGGCATCCTCCAGTACACGTTACCAGACCAGACAGGCAGCAAAAGGTACATAGAAACTCAGAGTCCACTAAACACAACTCCACAACATCTGTAAACACATACACATTCATCTCATCTTAGTTCATATGAGCTGAAATGTAGTTTTCTTTCATTCCTCATCCCTCTTTTCTTCTGTGGTTTGCAGCTGTGCAGCCTAAAGATGGTCCCCAGACCTCCACCTCATCAGTTACCTTGGTCACCTCTGGTTCCTCCTCCTCCTCTTCCTCGTCTTACCTGGCAGCAGACTTCCAGATCCCCACAGCTTCAGCAGATGTGGCAGCTGACATCGCAAAGTACACCAGCAAAGTGAGTTAGCCTGATGCTATATGTCTAAACAGAATAAATAGATAGAAACTTTACAGGGGAAAGTTTATAGATTCACAGATGATATTTGTGTTATATTGATATGGAAAGTTACCTGTCTGTGATCAATCTGTGAGTTGTAATAATCTCATCTGATCAGATGATGGACACGATAAAAGGGACGATGACAGAAATCTACAACGACCTTTCCAAAAGCACTTCAGGAAACACGATCGCAGAGGTGAGTGCTGGTGAAGAGACTTTTGGTTGAGTCTATAACATAAGTTCACTTCTCTCTCCTGTCTCACTGCATTGTGATAACTGTTGAACATTGTAAGCGACTGTAAGTCGCTTTGGATAAAAGCGTCTGCTAAATGGCATATTATTATTATTATTTAACATTTCTGCCCAGATCCGGCGGCTGAGGATAGAGATCGAAAAGCTTCAGTGGCTACATCAGCAAGAGCTGTCGGAGATGAAGCACAATCTTGGTTTGTTATACTTGCCCTTTCCTTAAAAATATACACATCTTTTAGGTTGGTATCATTGTGAGTGTTCAAAACAATAAGAACACCTTCCTCATATTGAGTTGCCCTCAGAACAGCCTCAATTCGTCAGGGCATGGACTCTACAAGGTGTCTAAAGCGCTCCACAGTTGACTCCAATGCAAGTTAGCTGGATGTCTTTTGGGTGGTGGAACATTCTTGATACACACGGGGAACTGTTAAGTGTGAAAAACCCAGCAGCGTTGCAGTTCTTGACACAAACCGGTGTGCCTGGCACCTACTACCATACCCCGTTCAAATCTTTTGTCATTCAACCTCTGAATGGCACACATACACAATCCATGTCTCAATTGTCTCAAGGCTTAACAATCCTTCTTTAACCTGTCTCCTCTCATTCATCTACACTGATTTTGAAGTGGATTTAACAAGTGACATCAATAAGAGATCATAGCTTTCACCTGGATTCACCTGGTCAGTCTATGTCATGGAAAGAGCAGGTGTTCCTAATGTTTTGTACACTCAGTGTACTGTATGTTTGTCTTTGTCAGCCAATTAATGTGTGTATGAGATGGACTTCATATCTGTATTTCTAACATTTTAATAATGCATGTGTGTGCATTATAGCTGTGTGTGTAATATACTAATTCAATGCATGTGTTGTAAGAATTTTATAAAACACATGCATAGTACACATTTTTATATTCATTCATTATATTCGATAAAGTGAATTCTATTCATAGATTTTCTAAATGTGTCATGTCCTATAGAGCTGACTATGGCGGAGATGAGGCAGAGTCTGGAGCAGGAGAGGGAGCGTCTGGTGGCGGAGGTGAAGAAGCAGATAGAGGTGGAGAAACTGCAGGCGGTGGATGAGACCAAGAAGAAGCAGTGGTGTGCCAACTGCAGGAAGGAGGCCATCTTTTACTGCTGTTGGAACACCAGCTACTGTGACTACCCCTGCCAGCAAGCCCACTGGCCAGAACACATGAAGTCCTGCACACAGTCAGGTATTATAATAATAATAATTTAGTTATTAAACACACAAAATACGTAATTTGCACCAAAAATGTCCTGTGCACCAACATTTCTGACAAACCCCACTCCTCTCCAGGGTTTTTTCTGGATCATAAAGGGGTTTAGTTGGTGGGCATGGCGGGGGGCGTGGCAATGAGCGCAGTCTGCCATTGGCACAGCTACATTTTAGAGAACATTTGAGGCCCCCGTCTTGGCGCTGTAGAGACATTTTTGCATTTCTAAGCCAATTTCCTGCAATTTTTACAAATCTCTCCATAGAGCTGAGATTTCTTTTTGCAGTTTTAAAACTAATTTCCTGCAATGTTACATATTCTGGCACAGAGCTGAGAGTAAATGTTGCAGTTTTCAAGCTAGTTTCCTGCAATTCTATGTATTTTTACATGGATAATGCTGTGTAACTAAATTAATACTATTAAATTAATTGTTTTAGGAATTTAATTCTCCCTGACTGTCTAGTTTTTATTTTGGTGATTGTTAATTCTCAAAGGTTCAAAAAATATCTATATTTTTTTACACTGTTTGGACTTGCGTGACCCGAAAAAAGTCTTAGGAGGCCCACCCAAGGATTACAATGTCAGAAAAGTCCCTGCTCTCGCACAAACAAAACCATACACATCGTCTTTCTCTGTATTTTACTATCTGAACTTGTTTCATGTCCTCCTCCCTCTGTTCCGACAGCAACAGCTTCTCAGCAGGAACCAGAGGTGGAGTCAACCTCTGACCCCTCAGCCAAACCACCAGGTCACTCCTCCAGCGACCAGCCCCCCTCTGGTACAGCATCTGCCCCCACAGACAAAGGCCCCTCTCCTACCTGCAGCGTGGACAAGTGCAAGGACAATGCCTGTGTTACTGTGCCCTAACCACTACACTGCACTCACACATTTTTACTCTACAATCCTACATTCTGTTAAATGTATGTATCTGTCGGAATGGGACTAGAGGATATTTACAATAGACCAAGCCTCTCTGCGACCAACTAATCTGGGAATGTCGAGCGAATCTCAGTATGACCACAGAGGCATTAAAACCACCAGACACCCTCACCCTCTCCTAGTCAGGCTCAGGGCTTTTAAATGCCATGTACACTCCTTGCATGAAGGCCTGCTCCTCTGTGATTCAGCTGACTCGTCCCCTGTCTCTCGTTTTGTTCAATGTCTGCTTCGTGATCCGATGTTTCAAGCCATCCTTCATCATCCTCAGAAAGTCTATGCGCTAGACTGGAGGATTCACTTACATTGGCTTGCGAAAGTATTCACCCCCCTTTTTATAATTTTTTCCTATTTTGTTGCCTTACAACCAGGAATTAAAATGGATTTTTGGGGGGTTTGTATCATTTGATTTACACAACATGCCTACCACTTTGAAGACGCAAAATATATTTTTTTGTGAAACAAACAAGAAATAAGACAAAAAAACAGAAAACCTGAGCGTGCATAACTATTCACCCCCCCAGAGTCAATACTTTGTAGAGCCACCTTTTGCAGCAATTACAGCTGAAAGTCTCTTGGGGTATGTCTCTATAAACTTGGCACATCTAGCCACTGGGATTATTGACCAGTCTTCAAGGCAAAACTGCTCCAGCTCCTTCAAGTTGGATGGGTTCCCCTGGTGTACAGCAATCTTTAAGTCATACCACAGATTCTCAATTGGATTGAGGTCTGGGCTTTGACTAGGCCATTCCAAGACATTTAAATGTTTCCTGTTAAACCACTCAAGTGTTGCTTTAGCAGTATGCTTAGGGTCATTGTCCTGCTGGAAGGTGAACCTCCATCCCAGTCTCAAATCTCTGGAAAACTGAAACAGGTTTCCCTCAAGAATTTCCCCGTATTTAGCGGCATCCATCATTCCTTCAATTCTGACCAGTTTCCCAGTCCCTGCCGATGAAAAACATCCCCACAGCATGATGCTGCAAAAACCACCATGCTTCACTGTGGGGATGGTGTTCTCGGGGTGATGAGAGGTGTTGGGTTTTCGCCAGACATAGCGTTTTCCTTGATGGCCAAAAAGCTCAATTTTAGTCTCATCTGACCAGAGTACCTTCTTCCATATGTTTGGGGAGTCTCCCACATGGCTTTTGGCGAACACCAAACGTGTTTGCTTATTTTTTTCTTTAAGCAATGGCTTTTTTCTGGCCACTCTTCCTTAAAGCCCAGCTCTGTGGAGTGTACGGCTTAAAGTGGTCCTATGGACAGATACTCCAATCTCCGCTGTGGAGCTTTGCAGCTCCTTCAGGGTTATCTTTGGTCTCTTTGTTGCCTCTCTGATTAATGCCCTCCTTGCCTGGTCCGTGAGTTTTGGTGGGCGGCTCTCTCTTGGCAGGTTTGTTGTGGTGCCATATTCTTTCCATTTTTTAATCATGGATTTAATGGTGCTCCGTGGGATGTTCAAAGTTTCTGATATTTTTTTATAACCCAACCCTGATCTGTACTTCTCCACAACTTTGTCCCTGACCTGTTTGGAGAGCTCCTTGGTCTTCATGGTGCCGCTTGCTTGGTGGTGCCCCTTGCTTAGTGGTGTTGCAGACTCTGGGGCCTTTCAGAACAGGTCTGTATATATACTGAGATCATGTGACAGATCATGTGACACTTAGATTGCACACAGGTGGACTTTATTTAACTAATTATGTGACTTCTGAAGGTAATTGGTTGCACCAGATCTTATTTAGGGGCTTCATAGCAAAGGGGGTGAATACATATGCACGCACCACTTTTCCGTTATTTATGTGTTAAGTTATTTTTTTAATTTCACTTCACCAATTTGGACTATTTTGTGTATGACCATTACATGAAATCCAAATTAAAATCCATTTAAAGTACAGGTTGTAATGCAACAAAATAGGAAAAACACCAAGGGGGATGAATACTTTTGCAAGGCGCTGTACCTTGTCCTTGTGACTGTATTTCATCTGGATGTAGTACATTTTCATTCCCTCTCTCTCTCCTCCTTTCATCCCCATTTGATATCCCTCTTATTACCTACCTTAACGCTATAGGTATCTACAGGAGAGTGCATCAAAAGATCAGACATCAAGGTTTTCTATATTCTGACAATCTTAAAGGAAAACTCAACCCAAAAACTGTCTTTTGGTATTTGTTTCATTAGTCCATTGTTGATATAGTCCCAAAATGTTTTGCATGTCAGCAATCAAGTTTAAGATATGTAACTTTCAAAATACAGAAATACAGCCGGTATGATGCATTTTGCATCATATGATGCTGCGTATTGCATCATTTGGGTGGAATTTTCCTTTAAACAATCTTAAACTGATGCTGCTCTTTAAAATATACCCCAAGTCTTTATAGTTATTTGCCAACGGAAGTGAAACAGCACATTGTGCCAGCCATTTTTGGGACACCCAAAAGATTTCAAATGTAAATTCTACATTGTCAATGGGGTTTAAAAGGTCTTGTTAATGCAGTTTAAAAGGTATTGTCAATGCAGTTTAAAAGATTTCATCATTTAGTAAGTTAGCATTAAGTTAGCAATCACTCCCCCTGTGTGTACGTTATTGGTTCATACTCATATTATATAGTTACTCAGTGTTTACATAGAATTTAACCAACTGTGATGTATAAAAAACATAAAATGGTTAAAAGTGTACAAAGTTTTTGTAAGAAGACACATGGACAATATTTATAGTGCTACGACAAGCATATGAGGTTCTCTTTTTTTATAGTACTGTTTGTGAATGTTCCAAATGTCTTGAAAACAGCTTGACTCTGGAAATCAGTTTTATTTGAAAATGCATTGTAAGACTTCATATGAATGTCACTTGGACACTCTGTCCGGACAGTCAGATCTATTTCTCTCATCAACCTTCGTTGTTGTTGTTGTGGTTACTCAATAACAATGTAAGCCTACTCCAAAATTACTTCGGACTATGATAAAGCGTGTTGGAGGGTAAAGGAAACAACAAAAGTGACTATTATTCTGAGCATGTTTATTTGTCCCCATTTTTGTCTCACGTGCTCTTGTTTACATATTGTACATACAGTAAATGGATTGTTAATGTCTTTAAGAAAACAATTAAAACAGGTCTGACCAATGTGTCTTGTGAAAGTGTTTTCTTGGAATAAATGGGCTTTGTTGCCACCTGCTGTCCTACTTGTAACAATGTTTAATGGTTTGGCTAAGTAGAAAAGCTTTGGTTTATGTAGTAAATGGGCATTTGTTGGTGTGCTCAAATTCAAAGCTAGGCTATACAGTGTGTGTTTACATTTTAAAACAAGCTTATATTTTGGGTTCTGATGGTGGTACGACAATTGAATTTAGCTCATGAGGCATTTCTAAGTTTTATTGTTCAAGAATCAATAGGTAAAATTTATTTATAAGTCGAGAAAGGTTAGGTAGGAGGATGAGTTATTGGTAGGCTACTGTATGAGCAGAGAAGGCAGCTTTTGTGGTTACTTTTTTTTTTTGTAGCTATACTTGAGCGTCTTCCAAAAAGTTTATAAGTTGTCGTATGTTGCCCCTGCTCTCCAGGTAGGCTTTATGTAGGAGTATGTAGCACTGAGAATAAAAAAACGCACATTTCACCATAGAGATAGTGGACTCATCATGGATATAACCAGTTTTAGCATGGACATTGCCATTGAGGGCTTCCACCATTTGAAAGTAGTAAACTGGGTGGAGATTCCTTTGAATTGGGAGCAATCAGCCAATGAAGAAGAAAATTGACTACTTTAAAATGGAGATCGCCTCAGAGTGCTGTCGGTGGCATTTAACATGAGGGAGGACGATTTTTGTTTTTAATGAGCATAGCCTTATTTCTATTACAGCATATTGGAGGACTGTCATTCATATTCCATTCACCCAGCTAAATGTAACATCGATAGGTTTAGGCTACTATATAATACTCAAATGTTCCCTATACCCTTCATGAGGTTGCTACAATCTAGCCTATGAATGAAAGTTTACAATGTAGGTGCACAAGTCGAAAGAAAAATATGAGTAATCAAGGTGACAGACAGTGACACATTCAATACCGCCTTGCACACTTTTGCCTGCATCTAGCAGATCTAGGGTGTAATCATTAGTCCAACAGTTGCAAACTAGAGTTTCTATTGGACAAATTCAGGTATGTTTATCCCCGTTTCGTTCCGTTTGCTTCCGTTTAAGAAAAAAAAAAATTAACAGAATTGGCAGAATGAATACACCCCTGATCACACGTGAACACAGTTCACTTTCATAGCAGCCACATACAAACAGCATGATCAGTTTGCTCGTCGTATAATTCCTTCTCACATCTATGTGCTCTCCTCTCACCTTTTCCCTTCGCTTGTGGACATCAGTACACAACACATCAGCTGTCTGTGACCAGGCAAAAAATAAATTCCAAACCATCATAACGCTAACGGCTACACACAGCCTACATCGTTGTCACCATATTAGCTAACGTTATAGTCAACATAGCTACTAGAACTAATGCATTAGTAAACCCGCAACAATCATGCAGTCATGCAGTTTAGCAGTTACACCGGCGAGCCCCGGTGGCAATACATTTATAAAAACGTACATTGACTTAGAAGAATTCCAGTGTTGGATAGCCATAGCCAGCTAGCTAACATAGCATCCCTCTCTGTTTGAGCCGGGTGTTTGAGTAGGCTAAACTAGCTAGCTGCATTCACTGACTAAGTGAAAGTAAAAATAAATAAATACGAAATATAGATAACTCTCTCTCACTCTCTTGCTTCTCCTTCATTTTTCAATAAAATAATTTGTTCAAAACTGTTAAACTATTGTCTGTCTCTCTCTTTGAGTCAACTACTCACCACATTTTATGCACTGCTGTGCTAGCTAGCTGTAGCTTATGCTTTCAGTACTACATTCATTCTCCGGTCCTTTGATTGGGTGGTCAACA